AGGTCAGGAGGTGAGGACATGGGACACTAAATAGGGACACTCTCTCAAGTGTCTGTTGGCAAATAGATGAGGGAGACGACAGAAGAGGTAAGGAATAATTTTGTGTTTAGGCCAAAAAGACTTCAGTTTCCTTTATTTTTTTCCTGTGAGATAAAAATAAAAACTAACATTTAATGAACATGAATTATTTATGTACCAGGCGCTGTCTGAATGTTTACATGCATTACTTTTTTTTTTTAAGTTCACAGTAACTACAGTTTCCATTTTATAAAGGAGGATATTGAGCCCCAGTTTGAGCCCTGTGACTATCACGAGGCAGGAAGGAGTGAGCCCGGCTTTGAACTCAGAGCGTTGGGAGGCTGTCCTCAGCTCCCGGGGTTTCATCGTTGCCCTGGGCGGATGCCGCTACTGCTCAGCCTGAATGCCTAACGGCAGTCTCCAAAGTAAAAGAAACCAGTCACAGTAGCTTTACAGTGTTAACTAGGCCCAGTCCTCACTTTTTATTCATTCCCAGCAGGAGACTAACAAATTAATACTAAGTCCCTCTGGCTCTCCATTCAAGGTTCAGAAATGTGGCTTTATATTCCCAGAAGAACTGACCAGCTGTAGGAATCCATGTGACTAATTCTTTGCTCAGTCCCTCCAAGCAGGACACAGCCTGGCAGGAAGTCTGTCTGGATGTGGTTGTCATGGTAATCGCCTTAGCTGACCAGCCTGTGGAATCTCCTCAGTCAGGGAATGGTGAAGTTCATTAAGGCTGTGGCAGCTAGGGACCTGGGATTCTGTGAGCTTGCACTCATCCAAAGGGTTAGTCGCGAATTTTCAAAGGTGAGCACCTGTTTTCACATTTGCCCTGGCCCAGTAAACACGATTCTAATACTCAGTTTTTTACCATTACGTCATTTCACGTCCTTCTACAACTTTAGAAGGAGAATGGACTGAGAATGAGTGAGACCAGAATAAAGCCAAGACCTTAACACTGTGATAAAAAAAAAAGTTGAGAGCTCCTATGCTGTGGCATATAAAAGGCAGTTAAGCAGGAACAGATGGACGCATTGCTTATAGCTTTGAGGACACCTTTGTTTCTGTTGGTGGTAGCAGTGCATAAAACTTTGAAATTTTCTTCAGCAATACTCTATAGTATACATACAGAGTTAGAGAAAGATTAGGTTCATTTAAGGTTGGGCTAGGTAAGGACAGTGCTTGGAACACAGTAGGGAGTTGAAAAGGAAGGAAAGAAGGGAGGGAGAGAGGGAAGGAGGGACGGAGGGAGGGAGGGATGGGCAAGAGAGCATGTAACAGAATTAAGAGAACTGGAAAAAAGTTTACACCCACTCGGACCGTAGGGGTCCTGGCTGAGTAGGAAGAGTAGTGAAGCCAGGTGGAGGCTGATGAGATAGATTGTTGAGGCTGATCTGATTGGGGTCCTAAGTGGAAGTAAGATTAGATAGACCCTGAAGCTTCTGTCGGGGGAAATGACATCAAAGGGGATACTTCAATTCACGTTTAATCATGTCATTAAAAAGATATGCTTCAAAAGCCCCAGCTGAAGAACCAGCAACAATATAAACAGTGCAGTTTAGAGAAAAAAGATAGACAAGTAGCCAATAAACACACACACACACACACACACACAGAGACTTGAGCTACCTAAAGATTATAGAAGTACAATTAAACAATTTTGCATCTTACAAATTGGGGCCGATTAAAGCATCTATTTAATATCCACGACTGGTTATATATTAAGCTGTTAGACAGGAGTAGAGCAAGGATGATGGGCCAGATATAGCAGGTCACCAGGACAAAGCCCCGGGTGCCTAGCAACTGGGAAAACAAGGACCTCAGCCCAGGGCCACCTTTCCTCCCCTAGCACAGTGCCGGTCACAAGGTTTAGCCGCCCTGACCTTTCACATGGCTGGTCATGTGGTTCAGACGCCCCACTGACCTTTCCTCCCGTGGCATGTTACTGGTCACGCAGTAGGTGGCTTTCGAGGAGGAAGGGCGGCCTCGGGTGACGCGACGCGCACAGGCCTCCCGCAACCACTCCCTTAGCGTTAACCCCTCTAGGTCCCGGTGCATTTCAGCTCCTGGCCCAGAGACGCAGCAACGGCAGGCTGAGTGACACCGTGGCTGGCCGCAGGACAGCTGCGCCTGCCCTGGCACCGACCCCTGGCGGAGGCCATGACCCGGAAAGGACACACCTGGAAAGCTGGTGCATATTCCTTTGGGATCCTCCCCTGAAAACTCCGGATACAGACCCTCAAGACAGAGGACCCCGTGCGGCCTGCTCTATGGAGCTCACCTGCGCTTTTTCTCTACCCCCTTCCCCCAGGTGCGTTTCCCTTGCCTCCTTGCTCCCAAGCTCCAAGGGCCTTCCTTTGCCTCTGTAACTTGTTTCCTGAGCCCATTTCTTTTGCGGCTCACTTCTCCTGTCTCTGGGAAAACAAACTTTCTCTCATAGTTTTGAGTCTTGGCTGTGAATGCTTTCTTAGCCAGAACTCAAGTACTGAGGTTGCTAAACTAAGGTCCTATCACCAGTAACATTCTGGTGCCATTTCGCTGCCAATAGTTGTAGTGCAGGTGGTTTCACATCTGGGGGTGTCCACCCTGTGGTCCACAGGCCACATGCAGCCCAGGACGGCTGTGAAAGTGGCCCAACACAAAGTCGTAAATTTACTTAACACTTCGAGATTTTTTTTCTGTGCGTGATTATGTGTCATAGTGTATTTAATATGTGGCCCAAGACAACTCTTCTTCCAGTGTGGCCCAGAGACGCCAAAAGGCTGGACACCCATATGCCTTTCCAGTGTTAAGTGCATATGCTTTGGACCCAGAAATAGCATTTCTCGGCATCAGTCCTTCAGACGTATGCTCACCTCGGTACAGATGGCTGCGCACAGGATGTTCAATGCAGCAGTGTTTTTCAATAATTATAACAGAGGCCACTATAAATTCATGGTGCTCAGACTTGGTTGTGCCTTCACCTGGGTAATGATAAAGTTTCTGCTTTCCTTTTCCTCTGTGACACTTCAGAACCCTCACTTCCCCTCATTTGCCTTCCCTACCATTCAAGAAGACATGGAAGCCATGGTGAATTCCCTCACATCCCTTTCTCAAAGTCTCTGTATCCAAAAATTCATCTCAACTCCTGCCTTTACTGGTCCAGAAGGATGAGGTAAACCCCACCTGTCACATTCCACCCAAGCCAGTACTTTCCCGAGCCCATATCCTCAGACACCGTACCCCAATAATCAGCACCCCTGGCCCATCATCATTTCCTTCTCTACGGCCCAGTCTTCCACTTAGAATAGTACAGAATTCCATTCCATTCAGAGAGGGAAAGAGAGGAAGGAAGGAAGGAAGGAAGGAAGGAAGGAAGGAAGGAAGGAAGGAAGGAAGGAAGGAAGGAAGGAAGGAAGGAAGGAAGGAAGGGGCGGGAAGGAGAGAGGAAGATTGATTCTGAAAACCCTTTTGAAAGGAAAAATTCAATTTCCTCCTCTACCCTCTATTATTACTCTGTAATTATCACACTCCTGGCTGCCAAAATGTGTTTTTTTCCACACCAAGCAATTCTTCAGTTCTCTGAGGACACCAACAGGCTGTCCTCCAATTCAATTCAATTGTGACGTAGCTACCTGGAGTTACTGGCAGACCCCACAAGTAAACGGCTCAGTCCCACAAGACTGTCTTCACATCAGACACCAACTGCCAGTCCCGGTTGTCACTTGTGCTTCTGACCAATGAGCTGTAAATTTCAGGTCCCCATGACCCCCTCCTCAGGTTTGGTGATTTGCTAGGAGGCTCACAGAACCCAGGGAAACATTTTATGTATGATCATTACAGAGGTTACAACTCCTGAGCGGCTGGATGGAAGACGCCCAGAGGGCAAGATGTGGGCCACGACGTGCGGGGCTCCCCTGCCTCCTCCAGGTGCGGCCCTGCCCGCATCCCCACCTGTTCCCCTACCTGGACACTCGTCCAATCTCATTGTTCAAGGGCTCTCCCGGAGCTTCATTTTCGGGTTCTGTGTCTGATGAAAGGTCTTACTTTCTAATCATTTGATCTTTCTGGTGACCAGCTCCATCCTGAGGCTATTTACGGGCCCCACCCTGAGTCAGCTCATTGGCATAAACTCAAGTGTTATTCAAAAGTGGCTCCTTAGGATTCACCAAGACCCTTGTATCACTCTGGACATTCCAAGAATTTTAGGAGTGCTGTCCCTGAGTGGTACCTCATTTTTTAGGTTTTAAAATAAGTTTTAAAATTTTATTTTTAGGGGGAGGGGAAGGGAGGGAAAGAGGGAAACATCACTGTGTGGTTGCCTCCCGAGCACCCCCTTCTGGGGGCCTGGCCCGCAACCCTGGCATGTGCCCTGACTAGGAATCAAACTGGCCACCTTTTGGTTTGCAGGCTGGCGCTCAATTCTCTGAGCCACACCAGCCAGGGCTGGTTTCTCATTTCAAATTTTCCTTGTGACATGTGATATGATCAATTTCTTCTTTTAAACATTTTTTTTTAACGCATCACCAACCTGGCATGAAGGTGTTCACCAACCAAGAAGCCCCACTGAGCTCTCGTGTCCAGGGTTTTTATTGGGACTTTATTACATATTGAGTCACTGGCCACATGATCGAACTCCATCTCCAGCCCCCAACCACCCCCCAGACCAAGCCAGGAGACGGGGCCGTTACCACGTGGCCCAGAGCCCCAACACTCTAATCACATAGCTGGTCCTTCTGCGCGCCAGCCCCACCCTGAGCCAAGTCCGCTTTGCTAGCGCACACTCCAGCGTGGCCCAAGGAGCTCATGAAAGACAGACACCTGAGTTCTACGGGTTTTAGAAGCTCCCTGCCAGACACTCAGGACAAAGGCCAAAGTTTTTTATTAGCAAATAATACACAGTATCTAATTTATCCCTTGTAATATTTCTATGAAGTCAAAATTATCTGTGTATTTATGAACATGTATATTTAGAAGAGCTACATACCTAGTCAATGATAGAGTCAGGATTCAAACTCAGGTCTCCCTAGCCTCAGTCTATTCTTGATCTGTTTACCATTAAGTAATATTGCCCGCCGCGTAAGCTCCTAGCTACTCTTATGAATGTGTTAATAATTTCTCTTAAACTTTTTTGAATTAAAAAAATTTTTTTTGAAGATTTTATTTACTTTTAGAGAGGGGAAGGAAAGGAGAAAGACAGGGAGAGAAACATCAGTGTGTGGTTGCCTCTCACATGCCCTGCTCTGAGGACCTGGCCTGCAACCAGGGCATGTGCCCTGACTAGGAATCGAACCAGTGACCCTTTGATTTGAAGGCCGGCACTCAATCTACTGAGCCACAACCATCAGGGCTGGCTTTTCATTATACGTTCCTAATGTCTGTCAAGGTCATCTCCTGAGATTAGACAACAAAGTATGTTAAAGCTGGAAATAAAAGTGTACACAAGTCCTGACTGGGTGGCTGAGCTGGGTGGAGCATTTTCCCATTCACCAAAAGACTGCGGCTTTGATTCCCAGTCAGGGCACATACCTAGGCTGCAGGTTCAATCCCTGGTCAGAGTGTGTAAGGGGGGAAACAGATCAAATGTTTCCCTCTCATATCAATGTTTCTCTCTCTCTCTCTCTCCCTTCCTCTCTGAAATAAGAACATATCCTTGGGTGAGGACTTTTTAAAAAGATGTACACAAAACTATGTGCAAGAACAAAGGACACAGAACAAACGACACAAAGTGTTTTGATTTTGTCTCCCCTCAGTGACCAAACCCCAGCCCAGACCACTGCTCTGGGTTGGCCCTATTTCTGCCTGTAACTTGCTGGCCCCCGGAGCTCTCACCTTCATCTTCCTCACGCCTGAGTCCCCTTTCCGTTTCTTCTAGAGCTACAGGCTACCTCCAAGAGGCACCTTCTCCCCTACACGTACGTCTAAGATCTGTGAAGCATCAGTTCACTTACCCTCACTCTTTATTCCTTTTGTCCAACCTGATGCACACTAGTCCCAATTCGGGCTCCCAATCAACCGCTTTTACAAGTCTCAAAATTCTGGAGTTATAGGTGTTCAACTTCAGTCTGCATTTGATTTCTGTTTGGCAACTCCTCTAACTTTGGACCTGCTTTCTCTTTTCCCAATCTCCATGTTCTCAAGGGTGCTATTCCACTCCTATCCCCCTCCCTCAAGCACCTCTGAGTTTAGAATCTTGCTTCCTACTTCACAGAGAAAATCACCATCAGTTGTGCACTGAAGCCAGAAAGCTGGGCATAATTTTTGACTCTTCCCTTTTTTAACACAATATCCAATCAGTTACATTTTTCACATCATCATAAAGTCTTTAGAGAGGAATTGAAAATACATAATCAAGTGTTTTAAAATTTTTCTACAGCAAAATAAAAACATACATTACCCCAAAACCCCATAGTCTATATTAAATACATTAAAATGTCGATCATTTTATAAATAAAATTTTAAACAGTAAGTACATAATGCAATTTCCAACATGTGGTTGCTTATACATAGTTCAATGACTGATTATGAAAATATAAAAACTATGTCCTTCTTTTAAAAAACATAACAATGTTACAAAATTATTATAAATTAAAAAGTGCTTCCATTTTGTTCCATTTTTAAAGCTAATGTAGCACAATAGCACATCTTTTAAGAAAAAAGATGAATTAGGGCATAAGTCTCCTTGTATACTGTCTACAAATGAAAACTCATAGAGACTGCAGGCGGCGGGGCAGGCCGGGGCGCCCGCTGAGTTCACCGCTGGCAGCAGCCTCGGCCCCGGGCAGCTGACCTTGTTCCCAGATGGGTCCCTCCTCCCCGGCCTGCCGAGGAGACTTTCTGCGCCTCCTGGTTCCCAGTTCAGGAAAGCCTTCTGAAAGAATTTTGATATTTAAATCCTATGCCAATACTGACACTCTTCTCAAGATTGAGGCATTTTGCATTTGAATTTCATACAAAAAGTCTCAAGTCTGATTTCAAATGAAAACAAGACACTTCATTTGGTCGTTTGATTTCACGTCACTTGTCGAGGTAGGATATTCTTCTTTTTCCAAAAACTGTCCTAACTATACAAATGGTGGCTGTACTGGGAAGGGTTCTAACGCCTTTTCTGCATTCTTCCAGTTGTGAAAATTCTCTCGGTACCACTCAACTGACAGGAGAGAAAACAAAAGACAAAACTCAAAATTAAAAACTTAAACACCAGTGAACCGAAATTTACTGGGTTCCTGCTCCGTAAGAAGAGTCTTGCCCAACAGCTGACCAGCGGGCGAGGGCTGCCTCCTGACAAAAACAACTTGATTTTGAACTAACGATCAGAAAATATTTTATCATCTGAAAATTCAGATATAAATATCAAGTATTTTTTTTTAACTTCAAAAGTTTTCATTATTGAATTTTCTGGTATAAGTGTTTAAGACATTCTCATTTTAAGAAATTCAGGGAGAAGGGGAGATAAGTCATTTGTATGAGTTTTAAAGTTATAGAAAGTATAATATTTTATTCACATAAATGTAGCAATACTGCATTACAGGCATAGTGAGATAATGTGAGTTTCCTTCTGTTAATATGTGAAATTATTTTATGTTGCTATACTAGCAATAAAGATTGTTTAGTTAAAAAGTAATCTTTGAATTTGCTTTTTAAAATTTAACACAAGTATTTTGTATTTTAAGCTCTGAATCAAAACTTTGTTTGAACTTTTTTTTCTCATGAGTGCATTTCTAAATAGAATTTTAACATACATACACAGACTTTATACCCACTTATTGTAATAGATATTCTGTACACAATTTTCTTCCCATTTAATATAAAAAGACTCAAGGCATTTAAAGACTGGAACTATATATTTCATGAAGTCTAAGATATCACTTAAGATGGACCATTATTTTACATACCAAAAAAAGAAAAAAGCTGCAATAATTTTAAGATACTAGTGATTGTAAAACACATACTTTTCAAGGTATGAAAAGAGTAAAAAATGTGCACCTGAGAATCAATGAAGCAGGAATCTTAAAAATGCTAATAAGATATAGGAAGACTGATCAGAAGTTAATCTTTGACATTTAAGATGCTTAGGAAATTTATTTCTGTTGTTAGAAATATATTAAATGTAACAATTTGAAAAGTAAAAATGCTTCATCAAAATATTTCACTGAATTTTGTAGTGTTCTAGAAATAGACTACTTTTTCTTTAAACTTTTCTGAAACCCCTTCCTCTCAAATGACCAATTCATAACATACTTGTTTTCTTTATTCCTTCTTTCCAAGGCACTTTAGGTCTCCATCCTAAGCCATGTATTTTCTCTGACTTCATTGGATATCTCATGTCATTGGTAGGTCTTGGAAAACAAAACAGATATAAAATAACACTGTGAAAATATATTTACATATCTGAGTTACTAAGAGAAATAATGCATCCATGCATATTTACCATAATTTAATTAAAAAATTCCCCTGATGACATGATCACAGAAAATTTGTAAAATAAAATGTATATTTAAAAAACAATTAGCCCTGGCTGGTGTGGCTCAGTGGATGGAGCATCAACCTGTGAGGCCAAAGGTCACAAGTTCGATTCCTGGAGAGGGCACACGCCTGGGCTGCGGGCCAGGCCCCCAGCTGACTGCCGTGTCTCTCCCTCCTCCTCCCTCCCTTCCCCTCTCCCTAAAAATAAGTAAATAAAATCTGTAAAAAAAAATTATCTATAATCCCAGATGCCTAACACTCCCTATGGCTTATCCTCTTCTTATTTCAGCATAATCTAGGTATGAATGCAGTGGAAAATTCCTAAATGTTTCATGAATGAATAAATAAATACACATAAACTTACTTGTGCTCTTATGTTCCATACCCTGGACTAGGCCCTTTGTATTTATAATTAAACCTTAAAATACTTCATAAACAGCAAGATGTTATTTTCTCTATTTCACACTCAGGAAACCTCAGCCTTGGAAAGGGTCAATAATTTTCTCTAAATCACAGAACTAGCAAGTAAGAGTGCTAAACGTTATTCTTACGACATTTATAATTAGAAAAAATATTTTAGTAGAAAACTCAAAAATGAACAAACTCATTTTTGGTTAATTCCATATATTTTATAATTGTATAAGCACCTAAGATTCCACCATCTTTCCCCAGGGGCCTCACTTGCCACTCACCTATCATTAACGTGATCAACCCAGCTTTCCATTTCAGACTCTGAATTGGTCTCTTTGATCTGTCAAAATGGAAAAGGCTTTTGAGTCAAATTATAAAACGAGACCAGAGAATAACAATGGTATTCACTAACAGAGTCAAAAGACAAGAACACCAACCTCCTCAAAGCTGGGGAAACAGCTAAGATGAACAGCATTTTAGTAACACTATCTGTACTTTATAGTCCAAATTCTATCTGAAGCTCAGACACAATACACATTGCAGACTATGGCAGAAAATAAATTTGTCTGGATTTTGGTTATTACTCAGTGTGATACTGTGATTTATAATAAGAAACACGTGCTTGGTTGTCATGCCTGTCCCTGGCACTGAGCTCCTAGAACACGTGGCATTTCCTAAGTGCCTAGAGAGAAAGGTGTTTCTGCTATTTATAGCAAGCCCCTTTCAGCCACACCAGAGTTCACGTCAGTGTTTTTTGGGAAACCCCTATGGATGGGGGCTGGTTTCCAGGGGAACCAACTGTGTGGTTAGAGGGATAGAACTCAGCCCCCGTCCCTTCACACCTGGGAGAGGAAGAGGGAGGGGGCAGGAGGTTGAATTAGTCACCTACGGCCAATGTGTTAGTCAATCCTGTCACTTAATAAAGCCTCTGTGGGAGGCTTCCAGCCCGCTAAACACACGGAGGTGCTGGGAGAGGGGCGCGCCCAGAGAGAGCACGGATACTCCATGCCCTTCCCTCGTGCCTCGGTGCCCGTACATGTGTCCTCCACCTGACTGTCCCTGAGTTACAGCCTATGTAATACGAGGTCTGTCCGGAAAAAGTCCCACCATTGTTAATGTAACACGAACAGCTCACACAACATCGATGTAACCTGGCAGCCAAGGACAGTGGACCAGAATGCACATGCATGAACAATGATGACGTCACTGTACTAGTCAGTGGGGGCGGCAGGCACCATTGAGTGAGCATATGTACCGTGTGGCTGTCGCATTCAAAATTAACTGAGTAAGGAGAGCAACAAATCTGCATTAAATTTTGCTTTAAGCTTGAACATTCCTGCATGGAGACTATTCTGATGATTCAGGAGGCCACAGCTGTGGGCAACTGGTCATTAGCAGCTTCATCATGACAACACACCTGCTCATGCGTCACATCTCATGCAGTTTTTTGGTGAAACATCAAATCACTCAGGTGACTCACCCCCGCTACAGCCCAGATTTGGCACCCTGTGACTTCTGCCTTTTCCCAAAATTAAAATCACCTTTGAAAGGGAAGAGATTTCAGACTGTCGATGAGATTCAGGAAAATATGACAGGGCAGCTGATGGCAACTGGGAGAACTGTGTGAGGTCCCAAGGTGCCTACTTTGAAGTAGACTGAGGAGTCACTGTCCTATGTACAATGTTTCTTGTATCTTGTATAAGATACAACAAAGGTCTCTCTTTTTCATCTTACATGGCTGGATACCTTCTGGACAGACCTCGTAAACCAGTAATCTAGGAAGTACACCATTTTCCTGAGTTCTGTGAGCCACTCTAGCTGGCTGGGCTGGAGCACAAGTGACAACCGGCTTGCCTAGCTGGTATCTGAACTGAGGGCAGGCTCGTGGGGCTGAGTCCTCAGACTGTGGGACCTGGTGCTGCCTCCAGGAGGGTAACATCAGAATGAGTTAAACTGTGGGACACCCAGCTGGCATCAGATAATTATTCGGCAGGGAATACCCCACTGGTTAGGAGTACAGAGTATTCTAATGATAGCGCAGAGGAAAACAAAAGTTTTTTAATACACTCTTTCTTCCTTTCTACTGAATCCTGAGATTTATAACTGATACTCAGAAATACACACATACACTCCTAACTACAATTATCTATGTATCATTTCATTGTTCTTTGATTTTAGGACACACACACAATTTAGTATTTCTGATATTGAGGTATGTCTTTTATTGGGTATGTACAATTAATGTATTAGGATTTTTTCCCCCTAAAAAAAACTGTTACTAAATGAGCGATATAACTTCAAATGACCTATCTTAGCATATAGGTGATACAGATCAGCAACTGTCACCCTTTTCCATCTCATGGCACACATAAACTAATTACTAAAACTCTGTGGCACACCAAAAAATATATTATATTTTTTGCTGATCTGACCAAAATGTAAGCATGATTTTGACTCATTTACACGGCATGGCTATTGTTGTGTTGGTTGCTGTCATTTTTTATTTGACAGTCAGTTACCTTGACTAAATAGTCAGGGAGAGCATGTTTTAAAAATTCTTGGGGCACACAGGTTGAAAAACCGCTGGTATACATAATTATACATTTTATTGATTACTCTTTTACCTTTCAATGGAATAGACTGTAAGTTGTTGATTCTGACTAAATTAGTGATTTCTGCCACTACATTAGAGACAATTCTGAAGATACTACCCTTTCCCAACATGTACGTACCAGCTGTATTAGTTCTTTGGCTAGCTGGAGCACTGACATCTCGAAATTGGTGCCAATGTTATAAATTTCACCTGGCTTCCCCTTTTTGAGGATAGTGAGAAATGCTTCTACTACATCAGTAGCATAAAGGAAATTTCTTGTTTGAAGCCCTGATCCATGAATGCAGCTAAAAAGATTAAATAAAAGGGGATCATAAAATGTACAAAGGTAAGCTCTCCCAAGCCAGAGTAAGGCAACAGCTGCGGACAACTCCAGAAAAGCCCATTCCCACGGCAATCCTAGGAATCTTTTACTGAAGACACAAATATTCACGGCTTGTCTGAATTTCATCCACAGTTCTTAAACGATCTCCAAAGCTCCTGAGGGTACTCGGTAGGCAAGTGGCAAACATGTAAGTGACCCCTGAGAAACAGTTTTTCATCAATTGTATACCTGAAATTCATTTTGAAGAAGTATCTACAGTTCTGAATTAAATCCTCTCACAATGTAAAGTTCTATAAAGAGAGATGTCAAGTTTTATGTGGTAACTAAAAGTTCCAGGACAAAGCACGTAAGAACGGAAACGTTTTGTGTCACCGTTCATCCCCCATTTCCCGCCGTCTTCCTCCCCCCAACCCTCCCTGCCCTCCGGCAGTGACCACGCAGTTGTATTTATAAGATGGGTGTTTTTGTTTGTTTGTTTGTTTGTTTGCTTAGTCCCTTCACTTAAGAACTGAAATTATCTTAGTATATAAACTGTAAAGATGAATTACAGATTATACTTATTTAAAAAACGATTACACTGTTTATAAAAGGAAGTCTTGAATGTGCTCAGACATCCAATCCTATGGCCTCCAACACTAAGACTCCTATGATTTTCCAAGAAAGACTGTCACCAAATAAATAACAACATATCAGAAAAACATACGGGTACAAAGTAAATAATAACATACCATTTCCTGTTGTGTTGCAGTAAAGATATAAATTTTGGAATAACCTAAAAGAATATTTAAAAGAATATTTCAGACTTTCTAAAATTTGCTCACTAATATCAGCCTGAACTCATAAGATTAAAATATTATTGTTAAGAAATGTACATATAGATACTTTCCAATTCTTATCAAAAGTTCAAGAAAAACCTATTATAACTTTGACAAGTAAAAGGACTCAGAGGTTGCTTCCTATTTCACAAAAACAAGTTATCTGCTACAAAAATATAAAAAGAAAACAATATTAACAGTGTAAAATTTCAGAAAAAGTCTTGTCTTACTTATAGCTTTATATATAACACCTACTCAGTAAGTGCCTGGGAAATTTATTTTTGAAAAAAGTACATCCCAGAGGGGAATCAAGATGGCAGAGGAGTGAATAGAAGTCATACTGACCTCCTCTCAGGACCAATCTGGAATTACAACTAAATTGTGGACAAATCACCAGGAACAAACAACTGAACAATAGCGAGAGAGGCACCTTATAACCTCTGACAGACAGAAGAATCAGCTTTAGTCCAACCTAACTGGTAAGGAGTGTGGTACAGACTCGAGAAAGCAGGTGGGGCACCCATGGGTGGCAGCACCAGAAGGATATCGACATGGCCAATTGGATCGCCCCGAGAAGAACGGTATCTAAACCATAAGCGGGGATCACCAGCCTACAGCACCAGAGCCCAAAAAGTACACAGATAACAACCAGTTGCGAAAAGCGGCAGGGTTGCTCTCCGCCAGAGACAGGTGGTTGGAGACACAAAGAGCCTTGTAAAGAGCCAATGCATAAACTTTTATTTGCAGCCACTTACCCTGGGCTCCAGCAAAGGCGGGGGCAGAGTGGGCTAGAGATGCTTGAGGAGAGGACTGAAGAAGGTAGCTTTGGGGAGAGAACTGAGAGAGTAGCTGGCAGCATCCCAGTGCTGACTCATCCTCCCTACGGCAGCAGCCATCTGGCTCAGGCAGACCACTCCCCTGAGCAGCAGTAGTGTGAAAGGACACAATAGCCCCGCCCCCAGGAGGGATTCTGCCCAGGCCCAGTGGTGCTAAAACCTGACTGCTGAGTGCAGAGTGACTAGATTAACAATTAAAGGAGACAGCCATAGTCAGTAGATTCCTAGAAGTCTCGAACGGATTGCCTAAGGTCAGACAATGTCAACATCTGACATCATCAGAGGCAGATCCAGAAAGAAAAGACAGCAGTCTCCTATGATAGACGTTCACACCACACCACAAAGTCAGGAAATCAAGGCAGATCAATTTAAGAAACAGAAGCAAAAAAGAAGAGTCTCACAAATAATGGGAAGACAAAGAAACACCACCCAACTGAAGGGAAAGGAGGAATCCCCAAAAGATAATTAAATGAAATAGAGACAAGTAAACTATCAGATACTGAGTTCAAAACAACAGTTCTAAGGAAGCTCGAGTTCAGTGAGTTCAGAAAGAATTACAAAAAACTACAGGGAAACTACAAGGATCTTACTGAAAACTGTATCAACATGAAAAAGGACCTAAAACTATCAACAAGAGACAAGAGGAAATGAAGAATACAATGTCTGAATTGGAAAACACAGCAGAAGAAAATCAAAAACATGCTAGATGAAGCAGAGGATCGTATCAGCGAGCTGGAGGACAAGGTGGAAAAAAGTGCCCATAAAGAACAAGAAAATGAAAAGACTCAAAAAGAATGAAGAGGTGTTTAGGGAAATGCAGGACAACCTGAAACATACTAATATCCATATAATAGGGATACCAGAAGAAGAAGAAGAGAAGCAACAGATAGGGAACCTGCTTGAAAAAGTAATGATGGAAAACTCTCCTCATTGGAGAACAGAAAAAGTCACACAAGTCCAGGAAGCACAGAGGGTCCCATTCAAGAGGGACCCAATGAGGCCCATTCCAAGACACATCATGATTAAAATGGCAAATATCAAAGACAAACAGAGAATCCTAAAGGAAGCAAGGGAGAAACAGGTAGTAACATATAAGGGAGCCCTGGTCTGGCTAGCAGCTGACTTCTCGACAGAAACACTACAAGCCAGAAGGGAATGGGAAGAAATATTCCAGGTAATGAAAAGCAAAGGTCTTGCAACCAAGACTGATCTACCCAGCAAGGCTCTCAATTAAAATGGAAGGCTAAATAAGGAGTTTCCCAGACAAAAGGCTAAAAGAATACATCTTCACCAGCACTGCAATATATGCTAAAGGGTCTGCTTTAAGAAGATGAAGAAAAAGAGTCTATGAATACCCAGTTCCTTTCCCAGTCACCAAGACTTGGTATTACCAATATTTTTAATACTTATTAATCTGATTGTGACATGATGTGTTATTTTAATTGTTACTTTATTATTGAAACTAAACCTGTAGTTGTACTTTTCTTGCCTATTTCTATTATTTTTTAAAAGCTTTAAATGACTGTTTGGTATGTTGTATCCATTTTTTGATTAAATGTTTACAGAATTCTTTCCCTAAAAAAAAACCCAAAAACACCATTAACCCTTTTTTAGATGTGTTGCAAATACTTTCCTATTCTATTACTTGCCCTTTAACTTTTTTTATATATTACTGTATAGTCTTAAATGTTTAATATAGCCATATAGTAAATATTTTACTTTATAGCTTCTGGGTTTGAATATTTTACTTCAGCGTAAGAAAAATATTATTTTGTGTTTTCTCCTAACACTCTTTAGATTTTACATATTGATTTTTAACTCACCTGAACATATTTTGTATAATGTGTGAAATAAGGCTCTATATTTGTTTTATTTCAAGTGATAGTGGTTCATGCACTTTATTTGTTGAATAAGCCTCATCTTCCCTATTGATTTGAAATATCAATTTAATCATATATTACAACGTTAGATATATACATTTGTTTCTAGAATGCCCATTTTATTCCATTGATCTGCTTGGTTATTTCTGTGCTGGTATCATGTTGTTTTAATTGCTGAGACTTTATCATAGATTTAAATTTTTTAATACTTTATAATGGATTCTGACATTAAAAATAAATAAATAAAATCAATTTGCATTAAAAAATACATATAAAAATTTTTTAAATAAAGTACATTCCAACACTTTGGATTTAAAGAAAATTTATATTAAACAGAGTGAGATAAGTTACTAAATTTATAATAAACCTGCTAAAGATATTACATAGATTAAGCAAAGTAGATATTAATACTAGCAGATCATAATAAGGGCTCTTTCCTTTGGGAAAACTGGAGAATGCAACCAGCTGGGAAGTTAAAAATCCAATCTCTTAATTTAGACAGAGGGAGGGCAACAGTTACTTAAAGTTGAGTTTAATGACATAGAACCAGGCACTTTCAGCCTTTTAACTGCATTTCTTCATTCACTACTTGTACTACCTGGGAGTCCTATTTTCCAAAATGCCCTCTGAAGTCACTATTCCAGTTTGCGATTCCTGGGACTAGAGTGGCGGATCTAGCACGCTGCCCCGCCCGCACGTTGGACAGGCTTTATTTCACGCTAGACCCCGCCGCTGTGGGGTCTACGAAATGTCTGCACAGGCTTCCCACGCCACTCTCTGCCTAGCGTTTACATTTGTGCACAGCCTGACATGCTGCTGACTGCACACCAGGGGTCTGAACTGCAGCGTCACGGCGGTGAAGCCCCTACAGCGCTTGAGAATCCTGCAAGCACCAGGCGTTCCCACACATCGTCTCCCTGGATCCTTCAAAATCCTTTCTAAGGTTACCATTACTCCTCGATTTAAAGACAATGCACGAAGGGCATAAGGCTACGCCAGCTAGTGAATATCAGGCTGAGACTTACGCTCAAGTCTTCAAACTAAACCAGACCCCTGCCTGTGGCCTCTGTAACATTTATAAATTATGCATCATTACTACATAAATTGTGAACAAATAACTGAAGAGAGATTATTATACAAAGTAAATTAAAATCACTAAAGCACAGTGAGTTCAGAAGTAAAATGTACCTTTTCTGGGTATTGATGTGGTCCATAAACGTTACTGCTTCTCGTGATGACAACTGGAAACTGAAAGAATATTAGATATCAAGGTAACGGAAAGGTCCCATATGATGATTATTTAAAGTTACGCAGTTTTATTTTATTTTTTTTAATGTTTTATTTTTGTTTTAAAAAAAATTGTTTAACTCATGTTTATTGTTAGAGTTGTTTCCATGTTTCCCCCTTTGCCCCCCTCCACCCATCCCACCCCCAAACCCCGCTCCCACAGGCAGTTCCCACTCTGTTGTCCACGTCCATGGGTCACTCATACATGTTCTTGGTCTAGTCCCTTCTCCTTCTTTCCCCCACTGTCCTCCTTCTCCATCCCCTCTGGTCATAAAGTTAAGCAATTTTAAAATAGGGTACTTTTGGCTAAGTCATTCCACACACCCGGATGTGGTGAAGGATGGAAGTGAAGGGATTTTTTTTCTAGTGTAAGGTTCCTGAAAAGACAGAAGAGGATGGGATTCAGACAAAGGCAGAGGTTCCAGAAGGAAGAAGAGGAATTTTTCCTTTACTGGGACAAGGAGGTATAAATAGAGATGAAGGCCCATTTGTAAGTTTGATAGAAGAAAACTAAGGAAACTTTTAGGTGATTATTTCAAAGACCACCTCTTAGACCCTAGGGTAGATGAGAGGTTAAACTTCAAATTGGCTTTCTCTCTTGTACCGACCTTTACAAACAAAAAAGCCTCCCATGAAAAGAGAAAAGGACCGATGCTACCGGAACACAAAAGGCAGGAGAACCTGGCGTCGTGCCTGGGCTTTGCCTCTGTGGCCGGGCTCCTATCGCTCCCAGCCGAGAGCAGTGGGAAGCCAAATGCAGGGGCTTGGTGTTGCTAACTCACGTCGGTTAAGGCTCCCGCACTGACACGGTCAGACCTACCCACCCACCCACCCCCTACTCAAGAAGAGCCCAGGGAGGCGGGCCCTGCGGGGAGGGGGCGCAGGGCTTGGGAGCCGCCCGCCCTCCCTCTGCCTTCACTCAGAACAGGGCTCTTCCCTAGAGCTGTAACACTCCACCTGTCCCTCGGGTAGGAAAAATACTCGCGTATGTGTACCGCCCAAACTTTAAGTGGTGAACTAAACAAGAAGTAGGTCCTACTTTGTCCACATGCTATAGAAAACCAGTTTTTTAGAATTCTTTAATACGTAACTTTTCTCAATATCTACTCTAGTAGAGCCCTCTACTCTAGAAATGAAATATTGCTCATAACAACTTGAAGTTTCATCACCCAAGTTCAGAGAAAAATGACTCAAGAGTTTTTAAAGTCCGTTCTTACTCTATATCGTTCCCAGTACGACTGCACAAAACACTCAGCGGCTGCTTTGGAGGACGCGTAAGGGTTTGTTGGTTGTTTGGGTGAAGTTTCATCAAATTCCTAATAAGATAAATTTAAAAATATGTATTATGCACACTTTCTAAGTAGAAAAATCAGAAAATAGTATTACAAACTTAAAATGTTAATCACTACATTAAAAAAAACCACATTCATGAACCCCAACTATGTGCCTAGCATTTTTCTAAGCACTTTACTGTACTGCAGAGCAACCTATTTAAAGTTCACTCTGTAAGGCAAGAGGCAGAGCAGCAAGTGGACAGGCGCTGAGACAGAAGTGGGTTCGCAGGAGCTGCAAGGAGCCTCGCAGGAGGGGAGAGAAACGGGACACGCGGTCAGAGGGCCAGAGGGAGGCCAGCGCATGTGGAACCGGGAAGGCCAAGGCCAAAACACTGCCACATTCAGAGTGGAGTAATGTCATGACCTTACTTACATTTTAAAAATCATTCTGGCTACCACGTCACTTCTGATGTAGGGTGACAAGGTACAGGAAGGAAGAAGTTAGCCTGATAAAAATTGCAAGGAAAACGGAAAATGGGTGCTTCTCAGAGGTGGGACTGGGGGTCGAAAAGCGGTCAGGGCCTGCTTTTTCTCATTATAAGTGTTTTCAAACTACTTGATTTTTCTCACTGTACATGAGTTTTGGTAAAAATAAAACAATAAAACAAAACAGAATGACGTCACTACTGACTACAAAAGATACAAACTGGAAAACAGAGCCATCTTTTTGCATAAAGAGTGTGACATGCACAAATGACTGGGAAAGGGGACCAGACTGCAGTTTCTACAGTAACTGCACACTCGCTCCTGACGGTCCAGGTGCTCTCCTGGGGGACAGGCCATGTGCTGTGGCCCCTGGGGATGACACTCCCCATGTGGGCAAGACTGGGACCAAAAGATGAAATCTGCTGCTCTCCTGTAAAATACTGGCAGTCAAGTCCCATATAAACCTGCACCCAGAGGACTGCTGTTGCCATTGGGGCGGCATCCCATTGGCACTCCAGTGGAAGGACAACCGGAGAGTCCCACGGGGTGTGCAATTAGAGGGTGAAAAAGGGCCCAGAGCAGGTTTTAATGAGACAGGTGTGTTACGTGGTCCATGGGAAGCAGGCAAAGTAAAAGTCTTCTCAGCTTACCTTATCAAGACTGCCTCCATATACTTCATCTGTGCTGACATAAACAAACTTCTCCACCCCAGCTTCATGAGCAGCACTTACCAAAACGTGAGTGCCATAAACATTAACATACGTAAACTCGAAGGCACGAACAAATGACAGATCTAGAAAAAAAAGAAAAAGCTACAACAATTTCATCCAAGGGACAATGCAAACACCAGAGTTGATAATAAATGGAGTTAAAGTGTCTAAGTTTTTTGTATTATTTGGGAGGTGAGCAAAGGTTTCTGATGGACTTCAGGCTTTGATAAGCTAGTTACGCATGTTATAATTTCCAGGGAAACCACTCAAAGAATACAAACAGAATATATAACTTCCAAACTAATACAGGAAGAAAAATAGAATAAGAAAATTCCCTTGGTCAAGCCCTTAAAAGAGCAAGCAAGAATTTTTTTTAAAGGTATTTTTTAAAAAGGTGTGGAAAAATTATTTAAAAAAGGATTGAAAAAGAAACAAGCATAGAAACAGAACAGGTGAGAAAAATAGGAAGCACATTAGATGATAGAAATAAATCCAAATAGATGGACAAACTCAGTGCTTAGGGTAAATACCAAGGATGGTCAGACTAGATAAAAAAAAAAACCCAAAAACCCAAACATAAGTTATGTATAAGACACATAGCTAGCTAAACCATAAAGTCAGAGAAAGGGTAGAAATAAAAAGATAGAAAAAGACCTATCAGAAAGATAATGCCAAAGGAAAGGTGACACAGCTATATTAATGTCAAACAAAATTGTCTTCAAGGCAGTATACACCACCAAGGAAGAAAGATCATTTCATAAGAATAAAAAGTTCAATTCAGCAGAAATGAACAGGAGATTTGAAGATCATGATTAGCCAACTTAACACAACAAATGTGTAAACCCCATGTACCCAGCATTTGCAGGTTACCCATTTTTTTCAATACACATGGAATATTGACAGAAAGTGACCATACACTGAGCCAAAAAGCAAGTTGCAGCACAAAGAACAGAAATCTTACAGTATGTTTTCTAACCAATGCAATTAAGCTAGAAATCAATAACAAAAACATAAGGAAATCCATACATGTTTAGAAATTAAGATATACCCTTCTAAGTAACCCATGGATTGAAGAAGAAATCACGCCTTAAAAAAATAATAAAAATAATAAACATGAAAAGTTGTGGGATTCAGATAAAGCAGTAGTTACAGGTCCATTTATAGCTTAAAAATTATACATTAGAGAAAACCTAAAAATTAATAAACTAAATATTACCACAAAAAGGTAGAAAAAAGAAATGCAGTAGAAGAATGGAAATAATAAAGGTTTAATAGTAGAAATTACTTATGTAGAAAACAAGTATACAATAGAAAAGATGAACAAAGTCAAAGATAATTCTTTAGAACAACGAAAACACAGGAGGGTTTGGTTTGCTGGTATCCAGACTTACGATAATTTACAGTTAACTAAGACAGAGTGGTAATGGCATAAGGACAAAGACCAGTGGAACTGGGCAGGAGGCGAGAAGCAGACGCACGCATGGAAGGGCATATGATCTACATCAAAGGTGGCAATGGGGAAAGGCTGAGCCTTTTCAATAAATGGTGTTGGGTCAAACTGATATTGATATGTATGAAAAAATCTGAATGTAAAAGACAAAACATTTTAGGAAAAGAAAATGAGAAAATATCTCCATGATTCTGCAGGGAGGAAAAGAGTTCTTAAACAGATCACAAGAGCACTAACCCTAAAAGAAAAGGTTGATGAACTGAATTATACTAAAATGAAGAACTCCAATGGATCAAAAGACTCTTAAGAAAGTGAAAAGGCAAAACACAGATTGAAAAAAAGGTAGTGGCAAAAGGCTTGAATCCAGAATATATCACTTTAGAAAAACTCTTAAGGACAAAAATGAAAACCCACTAGAAAATGGTAAACTTAAACAGAAACTTTCCAAAGAAGATATACTAATAAGGAAAGGGAGAGGGCAGTTCAATGAACAAATGCAAGGTTTTTAACCTCATTAATAATGAGGGAAAAATAAGATAAAACCACAAACGACTGACAATAGCAAAGTTGCTGGAAAGACTGTATAACTGCTTTATCATTAACCAAGTAGGAGGATTTGCTCTACCAGATATAAAAGCACTGTAGGCAAATAAATTGTGTAATCAGCACAGATAGAAACAAATAGACAAATGGAAGACTCAAGAAACAGATACTCATATAAGGGCACTTGATATAGGATATGGCAGTGAAAAATGGTGAATTTTTTCATAAGCGGTAGAGGTCCAACTGGCATTCAAATAGAAAATAAATAAAATTGGAATTCTGTCTCATGCTGCAGATAAAAATCAATTTCAGATGGATTATAAATCTAAGTGTGAAAGACAAAGCTATAATACTTTCAAACACAATATAGATTATCTTCATAACCTTGGGCCAAAAGAGAATTCTGTAAGACCCCAAAACCATTAACCATAAAATAAAGAAAAAGTTATATAAATTAAACTACATGAAATTTAAGAACATTTGTTCATCAAAATAACTCGGAAGAAAACATGAAAAGATAAGCCACAAACTGGGAAAAGATTTTTGTAATACACCTAACAAAGGACTAGTATCCAGAATACATATAAAACTGCGATAAATCAATGAGAAAAGGGTAAAATAACTCAATTTTTTAAAAAGCAAAAGATTTCAACAGCGCTTTATAAAGTAAGAAACCTAAATTACCCATAAACATATAAGGTGCACACAACCTCATTAGTAATCAGGGAAATACAAATTAAAATCACAATGAAATACTGCTACACACTATTCAGACTAACAGAAACGGAAAAGTCTGACAAAACCAAACTTTGGTGGGATCTGGAGCAACAGGCCTCTTACACTCCTGGAGGATGGAAACTGGTATAAACAATTACTTGAGAAACTAGATGGACATTATTTCAATGTTGAAGTGTGCAGGTCTTATGATTCTAGTTGCAGAATGAAAGAAATGTGTACTTTTGTGTACACACGTATACATGTATAAGAATGTTCATGGTAGCATTGCTAAGAATTGCCCAAAGTGTAAACAATCCAAATGTTCATCAATAATAAAACTGATACACAAATTGTGGTATATACCTAGAATGAAATATTTTATCACTGAAAGATGAACAAATTACACCTACACCCGATGACATGGATGAGTCTATATGGATGAAAAAGCAAGACCAAAAAACCTACTTGTTATTTTATATATATATTTTTACAAAATTTAAAAACAAGCAAAACTAACCTATCCTGTTTAGGGATAACTACACAGTAAAACTGTCGAGAAAACCAAGGGAAATAATGATTTGAAGTCAGGTTAAAACAGTTATAATACTACAACTAAAGAGGGTTCAACAACATTCTGCCTGTAGGTGATGGTTACATGGGTATTCGCAGTTATCACCATTCACTTAATTATACATCTAAATTCTCCTGAGTATTTCTATTTCATGATATAAAATGTTAGACAAATTATTAGAAGAATTTCAGAAAGTACTATAATGTTCAAATGTGCATCCAATACCCAGCTTAAAAACCACAACAATAACGACAAATCGAGTTTGAATGTCCATCTGCCCAGAAGTAATCGCTATGCCGAATTTGATTAAACTCGCAGTTTTAAGATAGCATTCAGGATCACATTTCAAGCCAGCTTAATAAAATCGACCTGAAAAAGGACAATTATCTTGATGACAGAGTGACCACGGGTTTGTTCTCTGGCAGAGCACGGTACATGCTCTTTCAAAGACACACACAAGTACCTACTTGTTCAACCCTGTGACTGGACTTTAATTTCGGCTAATCAACCACTGGAGAACGTAATTCGCCCATCACACTGCGACGTAAAACAATGCTTACCTACATGTGTTTGTGCCGCAAAATGTAGAACTATGTCTATTTTCTCTGTTTCAAAAAGCAGTTTCACAAAGTGAGGATCACATATGTCACCCTATATAAAAGCAAACAGGAAAAAACTAATTTTCAGGGAGCATCCCCATTAGTAAGAACCATTTTACTGTATGAACAACAAGGAAAATGATAAGAGAAGAATTAATTCTCCCCTCCCCACGTTAAGAGAGAATATCTTAAAACTTCAACTGAGGCATCAAATAAGTACTGTAATGAATGATGCATCTTTTTCAGGTCCTAAGAGGTAAAATATTCCATTCAAAATTTTTTCGGCAAATAAATGTCTAATATATTTTATTAAACACCAACTACTATTAAGGACTTGCCAACCTAAGATCACTATGTTAACAGGAAAATTTTTAAACATATTTTCAAAAGTCTGGATAACCACTATTGAAAGATATTTAAAGTAAATATTACAAATGGAATGACACTTTGAAATACGAATTTAATCACAACTAAGTAAATTTGAGTACTTTTGTTATATGTATAGTTCTAAAAACATCAATAATTCTTTGGTGACTGAAGGAAACACTTTCATATAGAACAGAGTTATGAAATGTTTTCTCAGTATATTCTTTAAATTTGTGGTTTAAAGAATCACTGAAAATAAATAAATGAATAAAAATAAACCATAGGATAAATAGTTGCATTTGCCATTAAAATTTCTCCTTGCAAATTTAATGACCTGGCTCTCTGGTTTCTACTTTGGACTCTTGAGAGTGGCCAATAAGAATCAGTCTCCCAGAGCCAATCAATCAACTCTCAGGCTGGATGGTGGGCTTTTTGGCTATATGGTTGGCTAGCCTAAGTAACACCCCACTTTATACCAATCTTTTTAAATTCCAGAAAGGCCTTATTTAGAAGGATAGTGAGGGCCTGAAAGAATCCCAAACCATCTGAGTTCAATCAGCTTCTCACAGATCTGCTGAGACACCAAAAATCACATGTAATTTTGTCTGTGGTGTTGCTCTAAAAGTAGTATTCTCTACAGCACGTGGTGCATCGAGAAGCTGAAAGGTCTTTAATTAGTATGCTTTCCAAGTCCATGTTACGCAAGTTCGTAAAGAAGGGAGATATAATGTCTGAATAACTACAGAGGCACAGTAAAATAATTATATAAGAAATGTTCATACCTGTATAAATTTGTAGTTTTGTTTATCAGAAATGGTTTCAAGGTTCTTCAAGCTTGCACAGTAATCCAGCTTAAAATAAATGAGGGGAAGGGAGGTGGAGAAACAACACAAAAAGTGATGAGAGCTTTTCCTAGAAAATAGCAATTGATTGTAAAGATGTTCTGATTATAGCACAAGAACATGTCCTCTTAAAGTGTCTGCTCTTTGTATTTTTAGATATTTCTAATATATTAGAAGTAAAAAACAACCAAAAAAATATAATTCTGTTAATGTTTCAAAATAATAAAAAAAAAATTTATTATAAACTTCTCCTTTAAAAAAATTTTCTGCCCAGATTTGTCTCAAGCCCCAGGGCTAGAGACATTTATCATCCCTTACTGAAAAAAAATTAGTGGTTGAAAACAATTATACTTGTTTTATATATTATAACTCACTATACTTTTCCCTGAGTTAACTGTTGGTAAATTGGTGGAGATAGGGGAAAAAAATTACTGTCCATCAAATTAAGGCAGGTAAAAATCCCTAAGGCTTATGGATTATTCTTTTACTATACATTTTTACAATTATGTTTTATGAAATGAAGGTGACTAACTGCATCTTTGTGTTTAAAGTAAAAAATTCAGTGATCACCAATCATTGCTTTCAGACTCTCTAGGGAGACTCAAATTATTACACAAAAGTTCTCAAAACTAAATTGATTTATATTTTAATTTAAAATATAGTTTTCCATGAGATGGCAGTTATAAATTCAAATAATAAAGTCTAATAATAAGAATATTCCAACTCCAAAAAAGGAATAATCACAAGATTACATTAAATATTGAATTTAGGGTGAAGATTTTTTTTTTGGTAAAAATACTGCTCTTAAAACCTTTACAAGCTATCATAATAAGTTTCAAAAGGCTTTATGTAAGATTAAATACAGCATGAATACATAACTATATAGGCCCCTAAATTGCTATAATGACTAAATAAAGACCTAAAATGTCAGCATGATAGGATTCTAATACTTTTAAAAATATAAATAACTTTCAGTGCATGAAGCTCATTTTTATAAAACTCACCTTGTCTAGATTTATGATCATATAATTTGGATAATCTTCTACTAAAGAGACAATCACATGTGATGCACTGTAAGAAAAACGTGTATCTTGTTAGTAGAAAACGTAATCATCTCCATAAATTCTTAACTGTCACCCTAAGCCATCAAGTATTACGAAACTATTCAAAGGTACCTTTACATTTTTGCAAGAAATCCAACTACACTGAACACACACAGACTCATCCTCTCCACTAACCTTGTCAACAGTTACCAATACCAAGTTCTAGATTCCCTTTACACTATGGAGAAGAGAGAATTTACTGGTCCCAAGTATAAGAAAAAACTAGTGTAACCAAATGATCTCATCCACGCATGCTTTGAGTGTAGGAGTAAAGCAGGATGATAAATACAGTGGTTGGTGGTCAGTGCAAATGGGCTATCATGAGCCTTCTCAGAGACTGTAGGTATAACCATGTAAGATTATGTTACTATGAGCATAGCAGTTGTCAAAGTTCATCGTAATCCCACTGCAATTGCTAGCTCTTGGTACAAGAATTTGATGGTGTAAAGCAGGGGGATGAGGGTGGTCCTCGACTAAACCTAGGTTTTCAAGGCTACCAGCTGACACCACACTGAGCTGGATACCCGCAGTGGCTCCTGGGTTTGGGTTTCAGAGGACCCTGAAATGGAAGAGAGGCATATTTCTCAGTGAGCTGTCCACCAGAGTTTATATATACACCAAGCAAGGGCAGGATCAAGGGCAGCCCTTGACCGAATTATGAACTCAGGAGTTTGTCCCTGACAGCCCCTTCATAGCACTTTCTAGAAGTACCCTTCCTGAACGAGCTCTATCACCCCTGTGCCCCCCTTTTCTGTCCATGCTCCTGTTGTCATTAAATCAACCTTGCCCTCCTGGTACCCTCCTCTAAGTCACTGTCAGATCAGAAGAGACTTAATGTGCTAGTGGGCTGGGGGTTGGTAGGGAGGTGGGAGAAAGAGCCCCTTGTTCCTTTGTTCCCCTTCTTCACTAGACATCGGGAGAGCTTCTCGTTTGTACGTATGCATGCATCCATTCAACGATCACTGAAGACCTTTGTAAAATGAGCCAGACATTCTTCCTGGTGCTGAAAGAGCAATAGTTTCTGTCCTCATTCAGAAACTATTGTATTCAGTGGGGGTACAAGCAATAAACAAGTAAACACAACATACAATATAATGTCAGGCAGTGATAAGCATGTTAGTAGGGAGAGGGGTATTTGAGACAGGGTGGTAAGGCCTCTCTGCTGAGGTGATGCCTGAATACACGTCTGTACTGAGTGATGCAAACAGACTAAGCAAAGGGGAAGCAAGTGCTTCACGAAAAGAGGAAGGATCCTCATCTGTTCCAGGGACCGCAAGCGATCAGAAAGGTGAGGGCAGAGAAAAGCAAGGGGTAGACGCAGGAGAGCAGATTGGAAAAGTAATGCCTGGGCACGTGAGTCTTCAGGATATGGTAAAGTATCTCGATTTTAGTCTACGTCTGATGCTCTTTCACTTAATAATCACTGCCTTGTGAGGAACAGAAACACTATGGCCAATCAGGAGGCTACAGCAGTAGTCTAGGCAAAAACAACAACAAAAACAGTAACGTGGGCTAGGATAGAAGGGGAAGGAAGGTGAAGTAGCCTTGAGGATATACTTTGGAAGTAGGAAGAGAGGGATGGCTGACTGTGGGTGAAAGAGGGAAAGAGGCACCAAACGTTTAGTACCAACAGAGAATTTTTAATTCCGCTGAATAAACAAACGACTCGTCGTGCACTAAGACCCTCCCCCTTATCAGTCACCCAGAGCTTGTCCCAAGTTGCCTAGAGCAAGCAGAGACGCAGAAAAGGTTGGGGTTTCCGGGGAGCCACTACTCCCGTTACCTACATGAAACCAGCACCCCCGGTCACCAGGACCCGCTTCGCAAAGCTACTGGGAGGACCCGAGGGATCCACCTGACCCGCAGCCGACATCTCCCGGCTCAGCAGTGCTTGGCACCTTAAAGCCACAGGTCTCTGTACCGCAGGGAGGTTCCACCGCGACCTTTTACGACGTGTCCTGTTTCCCCGACACGTTAGCGGGGGTTGGCTGGGGCGGCTTCCGGAGCGTAGTTGATTAATCTCTGCCCATTGGAGGGCTGGGCGGAACCCTCTGGGGCGCGAGCTTTACAGCGCCACTGCGCAGGCGCAGCTATTCTGCGCTTTACCCTGATTCGCCAGTGGCAATTAGGGGTTCCTTCAAAAAGAGGGTCCTGGAACGTTTTCCGGGAGAGTGTCACCAGCATGAATTAGGCTTTACTTAGGTGTACACAATGTCAGAGTTACGAATGATTACTTTCTTTTCATTCTTGTACTACAGCGATCTCCACAGATTATGCACCAGTTGAGTTGAGAACTCCCGGGAAATTCTCTTGCAAAAGAACAGAGATGGGAGGTTGGATTAGCCAGATGACCTTTTGCTGTTTTTACTATTATTATTACAGGCGGCGCAGGCTGCTTGCAATCATGGTAAAGATGTTCCCTAGGTCCTACCCTTAGATCTTTTCCTACGCTGCCCTAGCCTCTACTCCTTGCTTTTCCTTGAATTCGCCTGGCACGCTACTATCCTTAGGTAGGCCTAGATGCTGTTTTCCCAGATGTCTGCCGAATATTGACCCTTACTTCAGTTCTCAGCTAGAATTTCACCCCACCCGAATTAAAATAGCAAACTGCGCCAGCTCCGCCCAATAACTCTACCCTTTATTTTTCTCCATAACAGTTATCAACATTTATGTTGAATTGCTCATTGTCCCTGCTCCATGAAGGCAGAGGTTTTGTATCCTGATATATGATCCCTAGGACCACCCCTGGCACAGAATAAACCATCAGTAAATTTTAAGTAGGTGAATAAAAATCTTGCGGGTTTTTTTTTTTAAACAATGTGTTGACAGAGCCTAAAAAAATGGGAATACCCAGATATGTAGAAGTGTCCTTTGTAAGAACATTTTGGTGGGCAAATTAGTAATATATATGCAAAATTCAAATGTACATATCCTATGATCCCCAAGTACTATGGTGTATAATGTAGGTAATTGCAGGAAAACACGGGTATGTTGATTGCTAAATTGCTTGTAGTGATGAAAAATGACACGGTAAATATGTACTAATACTGTCACACTTTAAATACAATGGGCTCATATATAGCCTTTTAAAAAAATGTACCAGCATAGAATGAGGACCAAATTTATTGTAGTGGATATTTATGGTTTTATATGACCAGACACACCCACCCTTGATCATCTTCCCAACTTGACCCAGTCCAGGCAGGCCCCAGGATGGGCATGAAACTCAGCCTTGGCCAATTGAAGCCTCTTCCTGGGATTTGGAATTGGACTAAGGTTCTAGGATAAGCCTGGTTACTCTTCTTGAACTCAGAGGACCTACATATTTTGGAGTTGCTGGTGGCCATATTCATTCAAGTGAACCAAGGAATCAAAAAGCCTGCTTTCAGTGACAGGGAAAAACAGAGTTGATAACAAAGAAAAGAAAGACAAGAGGCAGAAAAAGAGGTCTCACAGCATTCAAGGACCATATTCTGATTTTTTTTTTTTTCAGGACCAATTTTACTCCTTTTCTTGGTTTGCAGCTACCCCATATATTTGCAAACACATGTCTGAAAGGATTCACCCTAAACTGATAAATAGGGTTACCTTTGGGTATCAGGTATGGGCAAGGAAAGGAGGGAATGAGGACTTACATTTTTATTTTATATAATTTTGACTATGGTTCTTTCCTAAGCTACGTGAATTACTTTTACAATTAAAATATAATGTAGATTTTTTAAATCTCATATTATTAATACCTTCAATTTATTCCTGGTCTGCCAGAGATAACAGAAAATGCTGGCTATATCATAAAAAGTATTCCCCTAAGGTTTCTTTTTCTAAAGGGTGAAGTCCTTTGTGAGAATTTGCTTCTATGTAATAAAGCTGGTTGTCCAGTGAATATAATTTATATATATTTATTCATGAAATAATTTAAATTCCTACTTTTATGGAGATATAGTCTCCAACCAGCTGGAGCTTACAGTATAGTAGAGGATTCAGATAAATTAATAAGCATTTAAACTACCTTGTGGTAAGTGCGCGGATAGGAAGGGGGGGTCTGTTCCCAGGGCATCTAACACACACCTGGGAGTTTGAAAAAGAGCATTGGGGAAGAAGAGTAAAATAGAAAAAGGAAGGTGAGGTGGAGATTGAGTAGCTGAATAAGGCAAGTATTCCAGCCAAGGGACCTGCCAGTGCAATAGGCCCAAAAGGGAGAAGTTGGAGTGTTAAGCAAACTGGCAGTGGCTCGCTAAGGATGAGAGAAAAATGTCAAGAAGTGGAAGTTTGAGATGCTCGAAAACCGTAACTAAAGAGTGAGTTGTGTATCAAAAGCAATTAAGAACTTTTAAAGGAAAGTGATGTAGTCAAAATGCACTTCCCAAAACTTTCTGTGGCTCTGGGGATGGGCTGTGTATAGCCAATTGGAGAAAATTAAGACCGGAGGCAGGTCAGTTGCCATCAACCAAGTAAGATTACGTCATGATGGCCTGGAGAGAACAGTGGCTGCTGCTTCCTACCATCACTGTCCAGGAGAGGCGCTAATAAACATCTGTTCGACTGAGTTGACAGGATGCAGCTTGAGTCGGGGGTCGTTGTAATTCACAGCTGTCTGTCCCGCTAGAGGGTGACCTAATTCAAGAAAACTGGGAACCTAGGAGGAAAAATAAATCGATTGGACGTGTTAACTATCTTTGAGACATTAAAGTGGAAACGTCCAATAGGTTACATAGGCACCTAGGGCTTTTCGACAGTTTTCCTCTCTTCAACAGAAATGGTGCTGCGGTAGGTTTGTTACTTCTTTCCGAATCCCACAGGCCCCTGGAAAGTCAAGAGCTCAAGCCCGCGCTCCCACACATGCGCAGTGGAGCAAGAGGGCAATAATTTTTCCGTAACCTGAAGCAACATCCTGCTAATTCTCTTTATAGAGAGGCGGGAACTAGCCAAAAGGCAGAGAGGTAATGGGACGCAAGCATCTGCACGACCCGCCCATTTCAGCCTCTGATTGGTGGGTGCCCTTGGCTCGTGGCGGAGGCGCCCTCCTCATTGGCTGTCCATCTCCTGGGCAGGTCGTCGGCACAGTTCTGCTCCTTCCTCCCCCTTCCTCCAGCTGCCGACGTGGGACCGGTAGCCGCTGGTGGTTGGCGGCCGCGGTGTGGGTGCCGAGCGGCAGGCGGGGATGGGGGCGCTGCGGCTGCTGGCAGTGGCCCTCACCTGCTGCTGGTGGCCGCCAGGCAGCCATGGTAAGACGCTGCGGGGCAGCTTCAGCAGTGCCGCGGCCCGAGACGCGCAGGGCCAGAGCATCGGCCACTTCGGGTTCCACGGTAGGTGCGGGGGGCGGGGAGAGGGATGAAGGCGAGTGGACACGTCCCGTGGGCCGCACCCCCGACCTTATGTGGGGAGATCTGGAGCGGGGCCGCCAGGCCGGAAACGTCACCCAGCTCACCTGGACTTCCAGCGCCGCCAGCAGCGCTCCTCTCTCCGCAGCTCAGCGGGATCGTGGGAGGCGTGTATCGCGAAGCCCACCGTCGCTGCTCCCTGCACCCTCGTCAGCCCCGTCTCCCCTCTTGGCGATTGTGTTCTGCGCCTAAAAGACCGTTTCTCCAACCCTCCCCATACAAACGTTGTACAGATGACACGCCTGCAGTATTTTTCGAGATCCTTCCCTCCAAGAAGCATCAGTTGCTCACTTCTCTTTCAACCTGATTAGATACACTAAGGCACTGTAATTACGTGTGAGTTTAAGCCCCCAAACGTAGATTTCTTCGATCTGTTGCTGTTAGATTAATTGGATTAAAAACTACTTGAAATAAATAGATTTTGGAAAACAAATACAACACCTGATAATCTAGTTGTCACTATCGCTTGAACAGTGCAGTTACTCTGCCACAAAAGTAGATTAACTATGGATCATGAGGCCCAGAATTAACTTGACAGAAATGCATGTACGTGTGTCCTGGAAGCTTCATAATTTATATCCAGTAAAATAATACCACAACTATACAGAAGTAATGAACTACAATTCAGAGTGCAATTTAAGATGATAATAGGGACTTAAAACGTCATTTTTAACTTTTGATAATTTATAATGTAATCACTTCATAGAGGATACTTACACTTTTGATACATACTATGCATTGACATTTATTTAAAATGTTTGATAATCAAAGTGATAATTATAATAAAAATAAAAACAGAGAATAGAAATTTTTTTAATGAAAAATGAAAGTCTCCTGCTTTACTTCTCACTCAGCATCCATTTCCACAAAGGCACCTATTTTTTGCCATTTATTTCTGAGCCTTAAATATAGTTGGTGTGGGTAGCCAGGCTCATTCTACCCTAGTCTTGCAACGTATTCTTCAAGTTTTATTGTAAATATCGCACGTCAAATTTTGTGTCAGGTATGAAATGTCTACCGCAAAACTCATTTAAAATTTCTTGATATTAGCTGTTACTATTTTTTACATTAAAAGTATAATTCAGTATCAACGGCCATGTTATATTTTAAAAAAGAAACTTAGGAAATTCCTATAGATAGTTTATGAAGACATGGAGTGGTTGTAAAATGAGGCACAAATTAATAGAAGGTCCACATGCAGCAGATGTTGCTGTTTACCCCGTGAAACGTCATCAGTTAGCTGAAGTATAAGGAAGCACCACACATTACTTTGGATAGTTAATGTGTATAATCTCCGACCTTGCATCTGAATGGGACGTTCATTCTAATGCGGTCTGCCTAGTTCAGTGAGATTAAGAAAAATTGTGTTCTTTAAATTCCCACTTTGATAAGCGGGGGTGTGGAATTTTCCTGCCATCTCACTTTTGTACGAGAACAAACTAGTTGATGATGTCTGTTTTCCGGCCCAGGTGACCGTGCCCTTCTCTGTGTCAGAATCAGCAATGCAGCGGTAGCCGTTGGGAAAGAAGCTAAACTCTACCTGTTCCAAGCCCAGGAATGGCTCCAGCTGCAGGAAAACAGTCATGGTTACAGTTGTAGTGAAAAACTGTCCAAAGCTCCGTTGACAAGTGAGTGTAGCCTTTTTGTATTTGATTGGGTATGTTTTTTCCCTCCATGTTAAATGCAGTGTTTGCATACCAGCCTGTTTCATGACACAGCACACATCCCACTGTGATAACTCTTGTCTAGCACATTCTAAACTGAAGTTTAAGGAAGCTGACCTTTTCCGTGATTAAAGACGGAATGCCGTTTTTCCCCCTTTGTCATTCAAACGTTTTGTAAATATGTAATATAATTTATAAGGGCATACTCTTAAAGGTCGCATCAATTGCACCAATATGGTGGATATATTTTGACCCAGTGGCAGCGTGGAGTGAATGATAACATTTGTTGAATACATATATGCTAACACTGAGCTAAGCACTAAACATGTAGTATCTCAGTTAATTTTATTAGTTAGCCCAAGTGATGCTGTTTTGCAACATGTTATTTGAACTTAGGGCCTAGTCATATGGTGACACAGTGTGTCATTTTGGGATGCACCACACTGTTTGCAGACCTTTAGGTTTGCCCCTTGAGAGGCCCTGCTTTTATTGTCCTAGTTGCCTGGATCCTTGAGCGCTTCCCTCCTCATCAGCACTATGCCCTGCACTAGGGTGTTAGCCAGCCAGAGTGAGTGCGGGTCTTTTTAATATAGAAATGAAGAGCATGTGCCATGCGGTCCATTTTGCCTCTTGGAAGTCACTTGTTTGTAGGGGACGTTAGGGATATGAAGCATCCATGAGAAAACATGGAAATTACCCCTCTTCCCTTTCTGCCTCTACATTTTCCCCATCATGTTCTACATATTGATGAGTCTCTGAATCTTCTTCTATGTAGTCAAGGAAAGCACTGCCACTTCTAAATGTCCAGTCTTCCTAGTCTTAGCAGCTCCCCGGTTCCCTAATGAGGCAGCGAGCCAGAACAGGGCTAAAAGTAGAAGTCCGTAGTCCTTCTCTGAGGATATTTTACTTAGATTTCTGAGATGGCATTGACCGTATGCTGAAGAAGTCTGAATGGCTTAAGGATTCAAGTATCAAAGAGGCAGTTACACAGAGGTGTGGACCTCCACCTTGAATTTCAGAACTTAACCTGAGGCGTTCATGCAAGTGAACACTATCAGTTTATCTCTTCCTGTATCACCAGTGTGTTCAGCTGAGTGTCCCGCATACGTATAAACACTTCTTGCTCGTCCAAACCCTCTTCTGTGCTCCCGGTTTAGGAACTGGCACCCTGTCCATCTAGGAAACAAGCTGGAAACCGAGGAGTTGGCCAACACTCCCCTCTTTGACCTCTCTGTCCCCTTCCAAGCTCTCAGTAAGCCACCACTAAAAATCCCTTGACTTCCTCTGACTTGCTTCCTCTCCACCCGCACCGTGTTATACCAGGTTGCCGTAACCTCGTACGGCCGCAGCGGCCGCGGCCGAGCTGATCCCTCCCTGCCTCGCTTTCTTTGCAGTGCTTGTGTCACTTGAGTGCTCTCCTGGGCCTTTGCCCAGGCTTTTCCTCGGCTTGTTCTTCTTTCCCTCTTTGGCTCCTCCCTCCTCTAAGTTAACACTTGAGTTTTTATAGCTTCTTGTTTTCCTCCATGGCACTTACAGTTACCATTTTGCATTTTATTTGTTATAAAAATCAATAAGAGCACTAAGGCTCTTTTGGTCCATTCATTCATTCATTCATTCATTCATTCATTCACTGAGCACTTCTGTTGTATCATGGATTATGCTGGGCACCAGTGGTAAATTATGGACCAAAATACTGACATTATCGCAGTCCTTAAGGCTAGTGCGTGTGATGGGAATAAATCACATCAATGTAAATGTAAAATTGCAACTGTATAAGTACTATGAATGTTAGTTACATGATACTATGAGAATTTAGGATACTCTAGTGCTGAGTAAGCATTTACGAAGTACCGGTAGGGTGAATTATCATAGACCTCAGTGCTTGAGGGGTTTTCGGTTGGTAGGTTGTTTGCTTTGTATGTGACATCTCGAAGTGTTTTTTTTTCCTTCTATTTTCCATTAAAAACTTACCAGGTAGTTTACAGCTTTGAGCTGTAAGAATGGATTTATTTTCTTGTATCACATGGTATTATACCATATACTACGTACACTTGCAAAATCCTAACTTTTTTATCAGCCATAAAATGCCTTCTGGCGCAGAGCGCAGGTACACAAGGACACCGTGTGGTGCGGTGGAAAGGCTGCTGCTCCAAGGGTCACTGCTAGTGACTTACGGAGTCTGGTTACCTTTGAGCCGTACTTCACCTGCCTGTACAACAAGGGAGCGGGACTAGTTTTCTGTAAGGTTTTTGAAAGTCCTAAAATGCTGCAACTCCAATTGCGATTCTTTGCGATGGAGTTGCATATACATAAGGCTGTAACTTATAAAACCTCTTGCTGTTGTTTCTTTTTCTGCTTTTCCCTTTCTCTGTTCTACTTTCTCGAGTGGAAGGGTGTTCTTTGGAATGAGTAGAAGAGAAGATCTCAGGAAACAGGAATTTTTGAGGAAGAAGATTGTTTTGTTAAATTTGGGGGCCTTAAATAAATTAAGTACTGGTGAGACATAAATCACTTTCTACATATTTCATCAAATTCTTTTTCTAGTAACAAATGCCAAGTCTTAGTAAAATCTATATTCTCTATCTTTTATATATTATTTGTCATATTTATAGTATGTTATTATTTAGGAGCTTTGATGTGCTGAAACACAAATTCTTAAATTCATGACAATGTAATAATACCACATTTTAATTTCTTCTAGAAATAATTCTCATTTCCTGGCCATTTAATGGGACTTTAAGAATTAATAGCCTTTTACCTACTTGGTAATGAGTTCATTAACTGTGCTAACACCTATGTAAAACCTTACTGCCACTATGAACTATGAAAAGACTAGCAGATATGAGAACTCCTCTATTATCAAATGTGGCTTGTAAGTCTACATTCTCCCAAACTAATGCCTGGGAAATTATTTTTCTGTCTTCCTTTGTTCTCTTTCAGTAATGTCATAAAACATCAGCTTTAAAAATAATGACAAAATATTTGTAAGTTCTTTAAAGCAAGCAAACAAGACATTTAAAAACACTAAAAATAAGTTTCTATGTAAAAAAATTTAACAAGGAGATTAAGAGTAATTTAGGTCAGATTAGAAGACCTAAGTATAATTTTGTATATAAAACAGAGATATCTTTGTCCATCATGGGCATATACTTCCTTTCGTACATTGGGCATGTTTATAAGGCCTTTAAAGGTGGTAGTATATTATTATTCTGTGTATTTTTGTTAACTATCCTCATTTCCTTTTATAATATGATTGAGCAGTTAGCTATATCACATCATTCTCTGAAATTCAGGCTTTGTTAATATTTGAGGTGCCAATTACATCAACATAGAGTACGCATGCTGTGCTGTAGTCTTTTGTCTCGAAAACAACTGATGCAGATTTGTCCAGAGGCTTGTTTCCCAGGCAGCTGGAAAAGGCAGCAAGGCAGAAAGTTCAGGCAATACGCTCTGTGAAGCACACTCTTGTTTTAATTGGAGGTAAATCTGCATAATTTAAAAAGAAACATTAGAAAGTGTAGTGGTGAAACTATAATGGTTAATTTTTACACTGTTTTATTGAAGAGAAAAAGCGCAAGTGAAAGAACAGCAACATAGCAGAGCCTTTATATAATGAGGTCCAAATTATGTAATTACAAGCTGCACATTTCAAAAACCTTATTTCTAAGCCATGTATTGATTATGTATTGAATTCTTATTAAAGGTTTTCAAATATTTAACAGAAATTAGAGTATTTGTTACATTTTTCTGGCAGCTTACAGCTGGGGGAAAAAAACATGGTATAAATGTCAGCTAAATTAAGACAGCCAAAATAATAGTACTATGGAATTGTTGATAAAAGCATCTTACCCAGTTTAGCTGCTGTTAGTGAAATTCCCAGATGTAAATTCCAAGTCCTCAAAATTTGAATCCCAACTAGCTATATCAGTATCTCATTTATGAAGACAAACTATAAATAACATTTTTCCAATTTTTTTATAAGGAAAATTTTTAATCATCCAGAAAAGTACAAGTGTATTATACCCAACATCTGCATATCCTTGGCTTGTGTTCAGTACCTGTTGATATTTTGTTACATATGCTCTGTATTTGTGATTTTTGTTTTAACCGAGCCTGGCTGTGGGGGCTCAGCTGGTTGGAGCGCTGTCCTGAAACGCAAAGGCTGCAGATTTGATTACCGGTCAGGGCACACTTCAAGGCTGTGTGTTCAATCCCTGGTCTGGAGCATAGGGAAGGGAGACAGTTGAGGCTTCTTTCTTGCATCAGTGTTTCTCTCTCTCCCTTCTCTCTCTAAGAAGCAGTAAAGGAATGTCCTCAGGGGAGGATTAAGTAGACAGGGAGGGAGGGAGGAAGGAAGCCGTGGGTATCTTGAGCAGTTCCGCTCACCATATTTCAGTCTACCTCACATAACAGTATGGACGTTCTTCTCCATAGCCACAATACCTTATTACACCTAAGAAAGTAAATCATTTAATATCCTCTAAAATCTCTCACATATGTAAATTTCCACAGTTATCTTCAGACATGTCTTTTATTTATCAAAAAGATATTTTCTTCCGTCGAGAAAAAGATCAAGACTGGCTGGCATGCTGTAGAGGCAACCTAGAGCTGGGACTCAGGCCTGTCCTAATCTTACATTTTAAGGACACTGGACTTTGCACAGAATCAGACTATTTCCATATGCTGTCTTATTTGCTCTTCCCAAGAATCTGAGCCAGCTGGGGCAGGTAGCTTAATTTTACTACTGAAAAACAAATTTAGAGAGATTAAGTCAATTTATTTGCTGAGTCATAATGTCAGTAAGTAGCAGGGCTAAGACTTCCTCTTTTAACTCTTCTACTCTTTTTATTATCCATCGTTGTTGAGATGCTCCTCTCCTATAACTTTTTGACAGTGTTAGCAAGTGCCTCTTAGGTCAGAATCATAGTTTTCCATTGAGAAGGGATCTTAGACATCAGTTAGCATTCCTCAGAGGGGTACCGTTGGCATTTTCGGAAGAACAGGTCTTTTTTTGAGACTTCGCCTTGAATTTCATGAGGCTTAGTGCAGCCCCCTCCAAGTAGCTTATCAACTGTTCTGACAAAACTGGCCCCGCCCATTTCCAGATGCCCTGGAAGGGAACAGGTTACCTTGGATTGACAACGACTTATTAGTGTAATCACCTTTTAAAAAAAACACTCCTTTTTTTAAAGAAATGAAAAGGAGAATTAACCTTTATTCAGCAACTGCTTTATGACAAACACCATGCAAAGTGGCTCATTTAACTTAGTCCTTGCATCAATCAGCTCTTTGCTCTAAGTAATTATCTTCGTTTTACAGATGAAGAAAGTGAGTGCCTTTCTTTATGTAATTTGTCCAAGGTCACATAGAAAGTAGGTATTGCAGCCAGGGTTCAAACACAGCTTTGTGTGATGCCAGCATTCCTGAGTCACCTCTATCCCGCCACTGTATAGACCTGGCCCAGTGTGATAACTCTTATGTTCTTACAATTTCTATTTGTCTACTTGTAGTACTTTTCTAAAGAATTACCAGTCAGCCCTGGCTGGCATGGCATAGTGGATTGAGCACCAGCCTGCAAAGCAAAGGGTCTCTGGTTCGATTCCCAGTCAGGGCACATGCCTGGGTTGCAGGCCAGGTCCTGGTAGGGGGAGTGTTAGACAGGCAACCACATATTAATGTTTCCCTCTCTTTCTCCCTCTCTTTCCTTCTCTCTAAAATAATCTTTAAAAAAAGTTTAATGAAAACAAAAAAGTACCAATTAGAAAAAGATTTTGGAAACTCTTTGGAAGGTATTGGTGAGTCATAGCTATTAGATATGATTTTCTAAGTTGAATGCTCCATTTTAAATTTAACTGTCATTGATGTTTCCCTCTCTCCCTTCTTTCTCCTCTCTCTAAAAATAAATAAATTAATAAATTTAACTCAAACAAGTAGGTTTCAAATATGTCACTATGATGGTTACACAGCATTGTGAAGATTCTTAATGCCACAGAATTGTACACCAAAAAAATCATTAAAATGGTAACTTTTGTGTTTTGCACCTTTTACCACAGTGCAGTATGCAGATCATGTGTCATAGAAATGCACACTTGAATCCTACATAATCTTATTAACCAATGTCACCCCAATAAATTTAGTTTTAAAAAATTTTGAGTGTCACTAACCCACTTGAAAAATTTGAAAACATTTACAATTCACATTCAAAGTTTCAGTGAAATCATCTCCTCACGTGTGGTGTTCCATGGTACTTTTGTGGTGACTCCTCTGGTTGAGGTACGTTATATTTCTCTTTGTGATTTAAACACCGAATGCCAATACTACAACAGGGTTTGAATTTCTAAGGCTGTAAGAATTCAACAAGAGAATTCTAACTTCGAATTGATTGTATGACTAAAACAATGAGTACATTTGAGAGTTTTGCTTTGAAAGTGCTGTCTTCTTTTTCTTTAAAGTGACCATGAATCAGACTGAACATAATCTGACAGTGTCCCAGATTCCGTATCCACAAACATGGTACGTGTTTTATGCGGACAAGTACACGTGCAAAGATGACAGTGAGAATTCTCAGGTGGAAGACATACCATTTGAAATGATGTTACTAAACCCAGATGCTGAAGGGAATCCACTTGATCATTTTAGCGCTGGAGAATCTGGTAAGAATATGCATTTAAATATATGTCCTTAATACATAAAAAGGTTTGTGCACAAATTTTTTCATGTTGTGTTTTTCATGTTTAGAATATTAAAAATTAAAAATAACGTATGTGTCCAATAATAGGGAAATGGCAAAATGAATCTTCCTGTAGCATTTTAATAACTATACTATTAAATTAAAAAAGCAGAGCACCAAATTTTATATGGTATGATTTGAAATATGTTTAAAAATGCAGAGAATAAACAGAAGTACAAAAATATTAACAGAGTATTTCCATATGTTGGGTGGCAGAAATTTGGATAGTTTTATTTTCTTCTGTATATTCTGAATCTTTTTAAAATGATAACCTAGCATTATCTATATAAACAGAAAAATATTAATAAGTTGAGTAATCTAAATTGGAAACTCCGTGATAAAGATAAGGACCTGTGCTATTTTGTATACCTGTTCTTTTAATAAGTTGTTTGAGCAGGTTTAAGGATTGTCTGTATTGGAGCTTGCAACCATTTTAGGAATGATAAAAGTTTATAATACTTTCCAAAATTAGGTTTACTCCCATTAAATTTTTCATTGACTGTGTACTATACTACTAAAATGAGATACCTAGCCCAAACAGAAGTGAATAGACACTTCTCGTGATACATGATAGACACACCATAAAGTATCCTAGTAGATATGTAAATTAACATGTCAGAGTGGAAACGGAGACCTACAGACCATCCGTCAAAGAAAAGGGGTTCCTGAGTTCACTACCCATCTGGAAGAGGCGGTCTGCTTTAGAGGGAAATTCAACCCCATTGCATTTCATTCGCTGTCAAGGTGGGTGGGTAGAGGCAGGGCAGGACTTAGGTTACATTATTCAAAACCGAGGGTTTAGTTCAAAATACAAATTGCCATAAATAGAAAAGCAATTCGAGGAGCATGTGTTATGGACAACAATAGGCCACAAACACCTTAATGCGTAAAGAGATCAACTTTAAAAAAAAATCCTTTGGTCTGAAAAAAACATTATTTATATAGTGACAGAATGAGATGTTAAATGTTTTAAAATAGTTAATTCTGAAAGTTTTTTGCGTATAAAGGAAATCACACAAGGGTAAGCTACTCAAGTTGTTTTTGAATACAAATAAACTTAAAGGTTAAATTTCACTTCGTGGTAGTGTGGATCGTTGTAGATTGTTTTTGGAAGTTGTTAGTCCTACTGATGGTAGTTTGATCATCGTGTTGCCATTGGAAATAGGGTTCTTTCACGGAGTAGTGAGAAAGGCTTTTCCGGTGACCCACACATGTGAGGGGAATGTAGTGCTGTGGTAAGGTTTCCTGGGTTTGGAATGGAAGGCCGCCCCCAGGTTCCTGGGGTCTCATCTCTGTCTGCTCCACTGCGGAGGAAGTCCAGCTTTGTTTTCATCAGGCCCAGAACAAAGGCCAGTGCCCGAAAATTCTGTGCCACGCTAAGGCTTAGTCCAGCTCAGCCTCTGTCCTTGTCCGGCTAGCTTGGTCTGTCCCCAGCTGTGCTTTGGCTGGCACTGTGCCCCGGCCCGCACTTGGAGCCCACGCGGGCACATGGCTGCTGTGGAGAGAGAACATGCTAGTGAACTTGTTACCAAGCGTGAGAGAGCTTGTCTTTGCTTGGCTAATTTTATTACCTCAAGCATGGGAAGGACCAGGCGCCCTTTCAAACTAGCTGATCAACTTCCCAATCTTTTGCAGGCTTCTGGTGGGTCTTTCCCAGCCAATCCATTTTCTAGATCTTCTGGGGTTCTGTATTCATTATCCAATTCCATCCAGTCCTTTTCCCAGGCTAGGCTCTGCCCCTTATGGTCATTATCTTAGCTCCTACTGCACATGCCTCGAAGTGGAAGGACGTCTGCCTGCACCATCTTGGCCAGCTGAGGAAGTTCTGCTGTTTCATCTTTACCTTGGTAACCCTGGAGAGTGACTGGTAATGCTCCTTCCTGCCCACTTCTGGCCAGAGGTCCCAAGGGCAGAAGACGCAGTGGTCCCCTGGGGAGTATGTGAAGCTGTAGCTTCCTAACGCAGAAGGCTTATTGTCCGATTCAGCTCCCTAGTTTATTCGGCTTGATGTTTTATTCCCTTTGCGCTCTTCCTTTATTAATATCTCACTACCTATGCTAACAGTTTTAGATGATTATTGGAAGTTAACTCAGTGCTACCATTTCTTATATCTTTCTAAAAGACGTTTGCGTTTATTTTTCATAGTTTGAAAAGGCGTTGATGAAACCTGTGTCTACTGATAGAATTGGACAGGCAGTTGGGTGAAATTGTTTTAAGGCCCCTTTTCATGATAAGGCTTCATTATTTCATCCGATACTTATTTTTAGGACTGCTCTAGGCTCAGCGGGAAGAAATGCTCTGCTGCAGCCACTGTACACGCAAACCCTCCCGCCTCCCCACCGGGGGCTGGTCCTGCCCTGGCACGGCTGGACCTTTCACGTGTCAGGCGACCTCCTGGTCCTTGACTTGCCCAGGAAAGAGTTCAAGAAGAGAGGCCAGGGTGCGGGTGCCGCTGTGAAAGCAGTGAAGAGTATGCATCCGAGTGGAAGCGGGCCGACTCCAGAGTTGTGTGCGTGCTCCGTTAGTTCTTGGGATTTTATGTGTTTCCAAGGATGGGGCATTGCTTCCAGGTTTTGTGGTGCCAAATTCTGACTGCCTTGTGCTAGGGAGGAGGCCTTGTTTTTGTTGCTTCCCAGTATCACAAGCGTTTCCAGCCATTAATAGTTCCTCTTTGGTCATTCCTGGAGATGGGGTTCTGAGAGGATATCGGCTGTCGGCTTCTACTTCCTCATTCGACTTGTCAGGATTTTTCCCTAACTTTTTTCCATCCAACCTCATAGTAGTGTCCACTTTTCCCCTGTTGCCTTACAGGCTGTACGGCTTTAGCTCACGAGATTGTTTTATGTATTGTATGGATCCGTGAGATGCTACTGTAAACCAATATGTTTTTTCTTTCCTCCTTATCCAAGCTCCCATTTCCAGTCTCTTTCTGCAGTGCCAGTGTGACACGTGAACATTGACCATAGACCATAAAATGACCAAATCCGTGCCCTGTGCTCTGCGTGAGCTGCTAAACGTTAATCATACTCACCCTCCTCCTGAACCTTGCCTATATCATCGAGTATTTTTTTCAAAATCCTGAATTATGGTTAGCCTTTTCTTTAGGGTTCACACTAACCATTCTGATTCAGTTCTTAGTCCTAACTTCTGGTCTATATTCTCCTGTGACTGATTTTGGTGAGATGTTTATACTTCTGTCTAAAATCTGTTTGCTCGTTTTTTAATGCTAGGATGGGAAAAGTTACATTGGTCATGTCATCAACAACATTTAAATGAGAGAAAACCTCATGATAGTACTTATTTTCCTTAAGCATGGGATTCTTTGCACTGCTAACTGGTTATCAAAAAGTGCCAGAGTACTCAGAAGTATTCATATTTGTTATGTGACTGGCTTAATTCTTAAGGATCACATTATATTATAGGTTAAAATGCCTAAAGGCCTTAAAATATGATTACTTCTACATTGCCATAAAATGCAATTAACTTTACATTAAAGTCTAAGTCCGTGGTTCTTAACCTGCCACTGTGCATGCATCTGGAGAGCTTTAAAAAAAAATGGACGTCCATCCATTTGGTTTTGGAGTAGAAGCCAGGAATTTGTAGTTGGTCAAAGCTCTAAAGTTGATTCTAATGTGCAGAACCACTGATCTCAAAGGTCATGTTCCCGTTGTTTGGGTAACGTGTTGGTATAAAGAAGAGCCTTAAGAGGTTTTTGCCTACTCTATAGCCTTAAGTATGGAGTTTGTTTTCAGGGAATAAATCCAATTAGTTCATTTTAGAAACTTTTGCTCATTTTTCTCATTTTCTGCCCTGAGTACGGAAAATTAATTTGCTATGCTTTTCATTGAGCATTGACTGTTAAACCATATACTTGAGAGGTTTGAATTAGAATAACCTGGTGCAAATAACTGCGATTAATGTTACATGTTATTTTGGTTAAATTTTGTAAGTTGTTTTCTTTAAAACCATTTATGTATTTTTATATCTACCAGACTTTGGTTTATCCTATATTTTACACACTTGGTCTAGATTTAAAAAAAATAAGTAAAACTAAGGCAAGTTTGATGCCACTTGATAAAATATTACATATGAATATCATGCTTTAAGGTAGAATAAAATAAAACTGCTTCTTAGTAAATTAAAAAAAAAATTAGAATTGTGGTTAACTCTACTTAGGCTCTTGTTAGAGACCAAAAGAAGAAGTAGCAAGAATTCTGAGGGTTAAAACATCATCATCTAAGGCAGACTGGTTTTCATTGGAATAATATTACAGGCTCTGTCAACATCTGCCTTTTCGCTGTTTTTAAGATTCCCGATAACGTTCATTCTTTTCTCTTGTCTCTTTTTTTGTCTCTTATCCCAATAGCATATGGGTTGGGTCTTCCATTTAGCCCTGGTAACATGTTGCTAATAATATGTTGGCATGTTTTTGGCTTAACATAACAGAGAAAAAGTAATGCAAGTGGCATAGACAATAAGGAAGTTAATCATCTTACGGAACGAGAACTTCTGAGGGCTCTTCAGCGCGGTTCACCCGGCGGGGGTCTCCCCTGCCGCCCTGTGGCTGTCCGCTCTGTCCGTAGGCCAGCTCTCTCTGTCCCACGTTCACACAGCAGCGGCAGCCGTCCTGGGCAGCACATCTAGGTACTGCTGGCCCTCTGTCGCCGTGGGTCCCGTACCGCATACACAGTAAATCCCGGATTGAAAATATTCAAAAAGTAATCCCAGAGAGTTCCAAAAAGGAAAATTTGAATTTGCCACGTGCCAAGGGCTGCCCGTCGCCCCGTACAGATGAAGCAGTATGCGGCCATGCCCAGCTGTCCCCTCTGGCCATTTTCAGTGGGCAGCCTCTGGCCGGCCTCTCAGCAATTGCCGTTCAAGCATTGTTCGCCCTACACCTCATTAGTGTGCCATTTTATAGAGGACTGAACACCAGTGGACTTTGATGTCCACATTGGGTCCGAGAATGAATCCCCCTTGGATATTGAGGGATGCCTGATGGCAGAAATCTGTAACAATTTTTTGAGAGCAAGGAGACCTTTCTCGGAGACTCCCTCAGCACATTTCATTGGCTAGAACTGGGTCACACACACTTGCTGTGCAACAGCATGAGAGAAGCAAGGGCACTGGAATTTCTCTGATTGCTTAGGGCGTATCTCAAGCCACCTGAGGGTGGGGGGCCCTGGGGCCCTGAGACCGCAAGCATCGTCGGTAGGCAGGAGTTTTCCGGGTGCTGCCCGTGACCCAGCGACCCCCTCCCCTTCTTGAACCCTCTTTTCTCACATCTCCTGTCCTTTAGCGGGAGCTGAGTCTTTAGAAGCTGTCCTGTAAGCTTTCTTCTTACTGAATTTTGCCAGTGCTTCTTCCCTTTAAGCTTGCCTTGAAATCTGTACACTTCCTAATGACATGAGCTCCTGTCGCTTGTTGCACACTCATTTAAGAGTAGGTGTCTTCTTTTGTGTATACAGAAAATTTAATACCTAGTATCCATCTATTTTAAAATTAGACTTTAGTTTCAAAGTGAACATAAAGGGCTTTCTTGTGAAGGACGGTGGCAGAACAAAAGTGAAGTTGATAGCTGAAGAGAAAAAAGTACTTTCTTTCTAGAAGATTTATTTAAAATAGAACTGAGTGCAGAACCCACTCAGTTCTTTGTTTAAAGTGCCTTATGGACAGAGCGTTGGTAAAAATAATTTATGCAAAAATCAATGATTGTTCAGTGTATTTAATATATTATCTCAATGAAGTAATTTGTTGGTTATAAAGTTAGCTTTCTCTAGAAGATATAATCTTGAAACATTTTTTTCCTCGTGCCATATGTCTTATTTTCAAAAGTTCCTCCTTCTCCTATATTATTTTGATTACTTAGTAAACCATCTAAGGATTTTCTTTTCATGATGGATTTGTAGCCTAATGGAGTATAAAACCTTATCTTGTAATGGATATTCTGCAAGGAATTTAAATAAATAAAATTTTAAATAGAATGCCATGTTTAATTCTTTATGCTAAGAAGGAAGATAAAAACCAGAATTTTAAAAACAACCTAGAAAAAAGAATTCTACTGACTTAAAATCAGCATATTTTCCATCTTGTTCCATCACTATAATAATCCCAGGTTTATTGTCCCATTATTTCTAAAGCTGGAATACTTCTTCTATGTAATAAATTTTATAATAAAAAAAAACGGCTTTTCTGTTATTCGATCCTCTCTTCCTGAAGACTAAACATGCCTTTCACCTGGACTAGAGAGTGGACTGTCAACATTTTTATACATAGAGCAGGAGAGACACCCAGTGGTTGAAGTACTTCTTATCTCTCTCTCTCTCTTTTTTCTCCTAACCATGCCAAAAACATGGTTGAGATTGAGCTGTTCAATGACTATTTTTCCTACTATTAGTATCTGGATTGCTTTTCTAACATTTTTTTATATAATGGAAATATTCCCTTCTCTGCCTATTGGCGTTAGTTCACCACAAATGAGAAAGTGGAGTGGGTTCAGTATTCACAGTGAGGATGGAAGGGATTGCAGTCTGTGCTGCTCATCCACAGGGCCAGTAGAGACAGCTCGATTCCTGTCTACTGTTACCGTACACCAGTGTTACCCAGATAGACTACAAAAGCCCTAATATTGAAGACTAGCTTTAGGGGTAACCAAGTAAACGTACGCGATAGCCTTCTAACATACTATGAAACTTTTCTGAAATTTCTGAAAAAAGAAGAGAGTCAAAATATTCCAGATAGTGCAGAAAAAGTCGGGGAGAGATTTACCGTAAGGACGCAGAAGACTGCGGACAATCTGCCAGCAGGAATTAGATGCCGCCAATGACTGGCACCAGTTTTAATGTGAAAGCTGCAATATTTACTTTGTCCTTGCTTTACCAGCCTTTTGCTCATTCAACATGTCAGTCTGCTCAGCAATTTTATCATCTTGGTTGACTCCTGTGGCCTATCCCAGTATTGGCCTCTTTTAACTTCAGTTTCTGTTGCCTGATTTTCTCCTTGTTTTGTGGTTTGATTCCTCAAGAGAATATGATTAGCCTAACTTATTTTTGAGAACCAGATCATGCTGTTTGTTGCCCAATGGCTAGTCTCTGGAGCGGTAGCCATTAGTCAGTTGTTACAGTTTAAGTTAACTGTGGAGTGGAATCCCACGGCCACCGCAGGATTTCCTTTTCGACGAGAGCCGAAGACAGTTTACTTCAGAAGAGGGCTCTGGTCATGGCGGGTGTTTGGAAGCTTTGCCCACGTGGAGATGTAAGGTAATGATACGTTCCAGAGCCGTGGTCCTCCGCTGCAGTCAGGATCACGCGAGGGGTGATCCGAACACAGACTGCCGGGCCCCACGCCGAGGTTGGGCTCCGTCGATCCGGGGTGAGGTGCAGGAAGTTCATTTCTAGCGAGCTCCCCAGTGATGCTGCTGCTGCTGCTGCTGCTGGCCCAGGGACCACCTTTGAAACTCGTCGTGAGGGCATGTTTTGCTATTGTTGACCAACGAAACCTATTTCTGCATCGTACAGAAGGAATCCACTTTGGGGGTAAAAAGAGTATCTAACAATGCTGAAATCATTGTTTTAGTTTACTGTTTCTGAACAAAACGATGCTCTAATGGAGAGTCTTTGGGCTTATTCCTTGACCACTATGCTTTTCTATAGATTGACTTTAAATAATTTAGTTTAATCTGCCTTCTTAGAGTTAAAACTACCCAAAGGTAAAAAGTTTTTAAGTTTCAGTAATTTACCTTTTTTCTCTTACAAACGTGAATGCTATGACTTCAGTTAAAAAACAAGTTCTAGAACTATATTGACAGGAAGATTTGAAAGCAGCCCAACACTGTAACTGGCTTGTTTTACTGAAGCAAACTCCTTTCTTCTCTTCACAGGGTTACATGAGTTCTTTTTCCTCCTAGTCCTAGTGTACTTTGTGGTCGCTTGCATTTATGCTCAGTCATTGTGGCAGGCTATTAATAAAGGAGGACCCATGCACATGATTTTAAAGGTTCTGACAACGGCATTGCTGTTACAAGCTGGGTCAGCTTCAGCTAATTACATTCATTTCTCCAGGTAACTCACCACCACTAAAGCTGTATTCATCATTACCTCTGATTAATCCTAATTAGTCCACCAAAATGGTGCTTGATTTGATTGTAAACAATTTTTTTCACATTTGTAATTTACACTAATATTCTCCTCTTCAATTCCTCAGTTATTCCAAAGATGGAATAGGGCTACCTTTTATGGGAAGTTTGGCAGAATGTGAGTATCTTTCTGAGCCTTGCTTTAAAAATGTAAACTTGCTATATGCTCCTTGTTTGTTTTTCTTCTTTGTAAATTGTTTTTTGTGCTAATACAATTTTTTCTATTCAAGATTGATTACAATTTAGCATGACTGAAAACTGGGCTACAGATTTAGTTCCCATATAATCCTATTTAGGTTCTCCTTAATTGGTAATGTCTGTAGCTCTTCATGGTCTATAGAGTGTATTTATATGTATTCTTCCGTTTTATCCTCAATAAAACCTCAGTGAAGTGTAGGTTTGCTTCTCCCTGTTTTGCAGATAAAGAATCGGGGCTCGGTGGCATGAAGCACATTTTCAAATGTCAGTCAGCAAGTGAATAGTAGAGCTAGGACGCAGACCCAAGTTTTCTGACCCCAAGCTGAAGGGGTTTTTTCCCTCTTATTTTCAACCCTTTTTTTTTTTTTTTTTTTTTGACTCTTTTACCTCTATTCTGACCCAGAGCCATAGAGTATACTTATAACTCAACTGACCTCAAAGCTTTGGGGTGGGGGGGTTAATTATTATTATTCTTAAGAGGAACTCTTATGAAGTAATTTTTCAGTTAAGTATGATGGGAAGAAATATTTAGACGTTTCTCTAATCATGGCTTTTTAAAGAGAACTTAATATTTCAGGTCATAGGCCCTTCTCAATCCTGGAAAACTCGTTGTGATTTGCTCTAAGATTCTGAATATGAAACCATTCTCGAATTCCCTTTGCCTTACAGTCCCCTCTCTCTCTCCCGGTCTCATCACTCTTTAACAGGGTGTCTGTCTACGGCAGTCTCTCATCATTGCAGACCTGCCCACCCTGATCTTACTGCCTGTGGGAGATTCTAAAACTGCTGGGACCTGTTCTTTTCCTTGTGGAGAGAACAGTGTGCTGCTCCTCTCTTGGGCGTGAACAAGAGTTGCCGCTCCTCTTTTAACATTATCGAGAGCCCTGGTTTCTCTCACCCTTATCTCTGGGATGACTCAGAATGTTTAATAGAATCATAGAATATTTTAAAGCTGGACAGACCTTAGAAATAACTTAGCTTATGCATTTTAGGTGAGGAAATTGAGGCTTAAAGAGGCAAAACACACAGAAGCCCATCAATAGCAAAGCTATTACAAGCTCAGATTTTTGAATTTTTGTGGCTGCTGTATACAAAACAGTGTATTAGTCTGGCAGCTTCACTATAGGTTAAAAAACAAAAGTCTTTAATAAAACTGCAGTAAATCTATGTTGCTATTTTTTGGTAATTCTGACAACAGCTTTGGTTAGTGAAATGATTAAAATTTCAAGATTTTTAATCAAGTCTCACAGAATGGGATTTTTTGTATGCTGTGTGTATTTTACCTACAATTAGTTATTTTTCAACCACAAATACGCAGTCTTCTACCTGTCCTCAAAGTTATAGTATTATATCAATATGTGCACTACTTAGTATGTAAAGAAATGAACCAGGAAATCGGGTGCCTTTTTCCCTGGGTATTTGTTTTTGCAAATTAGCAGCTTATATAGGAGTATTTCTTTGGCTCTTAACTTCTTTAAGTAACTGAATATGTATTTGTGAAATGTTTAATAAAAATAATTGACATTCATCGTTTAAAATCTATGATGAAAGAAAATTGTACTTGATCTGAAATGCCATGACATTTAATCTCACTCAAACATAATGACAGTTCATTATCAGAATTCACTATTACAAATATATAAGCATAAATGTAGAGAATACAGTTTTAATTTGGATGGCAGAGTAGGGGGAAAATAAACTACATATGGAAAGACATTTTGTTACTGGGGTTTTGGCTTGAAACTCTTAAAGGGAAGTATTATACTATATCTAGTTTTATGTGTTTCTCCAAGAATATCTTTATATAAAAAAAGTAAAAGTTGTGGAACTCAAAACTTATGGATGGCAGTTTGAAAAAGTTTTATTTTGTTCAATTGTGATCACATGTTTATTCTAAAATCTAGGTCAAAATACACTGTGAGGAGAAAGTGATCATCTTTCCTAGAATCAATAAATGCAATCTTCTACAACATACATGCATGGAACTTGAAGTATTTGTAGCTTGTTTTCTTGTAGCGCTGACCTGGGCGCAGGCAGTGGGCGCAGGCAGTGGTCGCAGCCTCCCGGAGGCGGCTGGCTCGCCCTGCAGTGCGAGGCATGGCCACCTGGTGGCACAGCACACAAGTGCCTGGAGTGTCCCGTTGGGCTACAAGACTCTGGACACTTAGCCCGCAGGAGTGGATGTGACTGCAGCTGTGCATTTTATTGTCATCCTAGTTCTTAGTAATATTTTTAGGAAATACTCTTCACATTGTGGTTCGGCCCTCAAAAAAGGTAGCAACTGAGAAATGAAGGCCCAGTATTCTTTGCATGACAGAAATTATGTTTAAAATTTGTCTTTTTTAATAAGCAGTAAAATATAGAGAACAGGGCTGTGTAGTTAGAGAAGCTAAGAAAAGTGGGAAACACAAAGAGATTTAAAGTGTATCTTAATAAAAATGTGTTAATGTGCATATATTAAAATAGGAGTATTGCCACTGTTTTAGCTATTCTCATAAATGTTTACAAATTCAGTCGCCAAGTTTTACTTCTTTAGAATAGTTATATATGAATATCTCTTAGGACCGACTTTCATCAGTTCTTTTTGAAAATGCCCATCTTTTTGTAGTTAAAAATAATTACATATTCTCAACTCAAAAAGGATGACATTCTTGGTATTCTGAAAACGTGGTTGACTTTGATTTTCATTTCCCATCAGTTTTTGACATCGCTTCCCAAATTCAGATGTTATACCTACTCCTGAGTCTGTGCATGGGCTGGACCATCGTGAGAATGAAGAAGTCCCAGAGCCGGCCTCTGCAGTGGGACTCCACGCCCGCCTCCACAGGCATCGCTGTGTTCATCGTCACGACACAGGTGAGCGCAACGTTCAGCGCTTCTGCTCTGCAAAACCGAGAAGTACCAATTTAAACAGCACGCCTAAAAATTGAAACTCGGGACCCATCAGGAATTTGTGTCATTTGAAAGTGTGAATTTAAAGAGTGATAGACTAACTAACCCAAATTTAATTGTAATTTACCTGAGTTTCCTATCAGCTTGTTCAAGTGCAATATGTTTAATATTAGCTTAGATTCTTATTTTCTTACTTAGTAGCTTTCTTTCATATTTCATAACACATATTAAGTACTCAACATTAAATAAGCGAATCAGTGAATTTGAGATCCGTCCATTGACAAGGATCTTTAGGTCCAGTTCTACTACTTTATACATGAAATAATTCAAATGAATATCTGAGACCAAGGAAAAAGCAAAATGCAGAATAAAAAAGAATGGATCTTGTTTCTGTTTACGAAAACCATTACAAAAACAAATGTGGTCTTTGAGAAAGGTCCTCTGTGCCTAACTTTTCCTCCAAAGCAACAGTACGAGACATTAGGCTAGGATCTCCATATGCCTCTGTGCAGTGGACTTATCAAAATTAGGAAGAAAGGTACATACATAAAAATTGGTACTGAGTTTGTAACCATCGTTGGCTGTAGATGAAAATGAAATACACACCTGGACCCTGTAAAGGACGTTACAATCTAAGTTTTAATGCATTAAATAAATTGCAAGATTCATCAATGAATGGTAAGGTCTGTGCTTCATTTTTCTCTGTATCTCTAGTATTTAGTAAGGATAGTAGTTGCCGAGTGAAGTAGGTGTGTTGAATTTACATGACTGATTTTAGAAAGAGACTGTATCACAGATAGTGATGTTTAGAAAGGAGATAATGCCAGGGAGGGACGGCTAATGAGAAAGAACTGAATTAGAAGTTATTAAAATGAGGGCAAGTTTCCACCGACTTCATGTTTTTGATTCAGGATTTGTGGAGAACAGTGTTAAAATCTCACGTCTCAATTAATAGCTTTTAAAAAATTGAATTCTTATTATTTCATTTTAATTTAAATTCATTCCCATGGACAAAAACAAATTTAAGAATTGAGACTATGACACTACCCTAGACTGTTACATGAGCATTCTTGAGGAATACATTAGGCATGGCCCTAGTACTCAACAAGCCCAGACAAGGCGAATAATACAGGCAACCAGGGACGTATGAATACGTGCATATATTTCATAGGTCATATATTTGCATACATATACGAAAATATGGGAGTCCAAATTTTAAAAAAGTGAGTCATGGGAATCGGTAGGGGTTTTTTTCTGCTTTATTGGGGTATAATTGACAAGTAGAAATTGTATGTATTTAAGGTGTACAACTTGATGTTTTGATATACATACACATTGTAAGATGATCACAGATATATTCATCACCTCACAAAGGTAGTAGGAAATGGGAATTCTATAGTAGCACTTTTTTTGTTCTAAAAGTTAAGCTTAGAAATGTAGGTTAAAAAATCACATGGGTATAATTTGGTGGAGTGGAGAAGGAACATTTTCAGTCATGTGGAGCAAATACTCAGTCCAACAAGGAAATTCATGTGTGCCAGATGACAAAGGAGTTCACCTGTCAAGAATGGTAGCAAGAGTAAAACTGGTGTAGAAGATTTGAGAATGAGAAAAAGAAGAGGTTGCTGGTATACCCCATACGGTCTGAGAATTGGAATTAATACTTGAGTTCTGATACAAATTTTTTGGAAGCCACTGAAGATGCAGTTCTGAGATCTGAGTCGGCAAGTGAAAGAAGCACAGAGGGCTATTGACTTGTGATGGAAAAACATAGTAGTTTATAAATTTAAGTGATTGATGTTGGTAACGATGGAGGGAGTGTGGCTACAGATTTCTAGTGAACAGCAATAAACAGAACAGCTTCTGAGTTTTTACTGTTACAAGAACAATATGGGAGAAAAACAACTAAGGATAAATGGCTGTGCTCCTAGTGAATGTTAAAAATATGCTCTCCTTTACCCAGGGAGGTTACCATGGAAAAAGCGTAAAATCTGAAATTAGCAATTCTGACGTGTTAATTTTTGGATTACAAAAAATAATGAGATATTTGAAAGTTATCCTGCGATAATAGGCTTGAATGCAGAACAGTTTGATTTCTTATGTGTTGAAATAAGAAAAAGATTTAGAAAAAAGTTTATCCTCTTCATCTTTTCAACTTATTTTCATCTTCACAGATGTCTTACTTGAGGCATGGTAGCAATAGCCTGTTTTATAATTTGGACGTGGTCTCATTTGATAACTCGTTTGCTCTAGCTTGGCCTATCAGCAAAGAGAGAACTGCCTGTGCTTATTATTGACTGGCAGCTCTGTCCTCTGATAAACCTCAGAGCCTCTTAGAACGTTGCTATGTTTTGAGGGATACTTAAAAGAGTTGAAAAAGCACTTCATTGTAAACAGGTATGACTTTTTTTTTTCTTCTAAATGTACTGTGTTTTGCAGAGTATTTTGCTCCTTTGGGAACAGTTCGAAGATACCAGTCCTCACAGCCACTACTCACACCACAACCTCGCAGGGCTCCTCCTCCTCGTTCTGCGGGTGTGCCTGGCGCTGTCATTAGGCTGCGGGCTCTACCAGATCATCACGGTGGAGAGAAGCACGCTCAAGAGGGAGTTCTACATCACCTTTGCCAAAGTACGGGAGCTCGCGTCGCGGCCGGTCCTGCTTGCTTAGGCAGCCCGCGCCGGCCGCCGCAGGCCCGCACTGGCTCAGCTCCGCGGCCCGCCTCCGCTCCGGGGCCTGCGAGAGGCGGCGTGTCCCCGTGTTACGGAACCCGTGCGACAGGGGTTTCCCTGTCGCTGATGGCAGGTCAATTTTGCCTGGCCCACGATTTCTTTACCCATAGGGATTTCACGTTTTTCTGTAGTATCCGAATTTCAAGTTTTTTTTTTTTTTAATTAGAATACAGTTTACGTTTCTCAAAATTAAAAAAAACACACCAAAAACAGTTATCTGACTATTAGGAGCTGGTGTTCCCAGAACTGCGCGGTGGCTTGAAGCTGCGAGGAACTCTCGTCCGCAGGTGTCAGCGGCTGGGCGGGGGACTGAGCCCCGCCTTAAGGTCAGCGCGTCGCGCCTCGTGGGCAATGTCCACTTCGCTCCCGCTGCGTGCCCTGGCTGCGGTGGGGAGACCTACACGCACGTTCGGCTTTTCCTCTGTCCATCTGATGGAGGGAAAGATGAGGAGAGAGCAGGGCTGGTGACGTGGCTAGTGTTTCCTCCCTAGAAGAGTCTGCCGGGCGGAGAGGACCCACACTCCTTCACCCGGGCCGCCTTAGACGGCGTGGGCAGGCCTGCCCGGCAGCCCTGGGCGGAGGGCCGCGCCTGCCCTGCCCTGGTGCGGGCCCAGCTGGGCCGCTGCCGCCGCTGCCCTGGGCAGGCCCGCGGGCCCCCCAGTGCCAGCCAGGCCGGAAGTGGCGGTTCACTCGTGAAGTTTATGCAGGGATAGCGGTGTTTGTGGTTTGAAAAGTGAGGATATACGTAAGGTGTTTAGAAACCAATTTTTTTTTTATGCGTAAAACACTACCGAACTTTTTCTTTGAACTAAAAAAAATTATTTTATGTGTTATAATTTTATATCTTTTGAATGGGTTCAAACGTTCAAAAATATTTAGAGTAGCAAAACATCTCTCTTGCCTGTGTTCCATCTACTCAGTTGTCACCTTCTCAGATAATCACTGCTCTATAATTTATCCTTCCAGAGAATTTTTAATAGGCATTCCTATATATTTCCTTCCATTTTTATATAAATAGTAGCATATTAAGTACGTTGGAAAACAGAATACATTGCCATGGTTTTACGAAAAATAGTAAAGAGATACTTGAAAAGTATATTAAAAAGTTTCCCATTCTTACTTGTCCAGTTCTACTTGCTTCTGTACTAACAACCCTCAAGCAGGTAACCACTATCAATCACTTTTTGTGTATTCTCAAGAATTTGTGTGTGTGTGTGTGTGTGTGTGTGTGTGTGTGTGAATGTGCATTCTTTTTTACAGAAATATTACACATTTGTACCTTGGTTTTCTCAATTACTGATTTGTTATTTGTACTGTATCAAAATGTGCTTATGTAAAAAGCATAAGATCTTGAAATACTGTAGAAAATGCCCATTGGATTAAAAACAAAATATTAATGTCATAGCAACAGCACATTTATTTCTACATATTGCAAGTTCTCCAATGTCCCAGTGAGGTGAATTAAGACCTCTGAAATATGCTGTGTTTTTATCTGGAACATTCTGAAAATGAAGATATAGCTGCACTTACTTTGCTCATTTTTTATTTGTTTCAGGGCTGTATCTTGTGGTTTTTATGTCATCCAGTTCTCGCATGTATTTCTATCATGTGTAATGACTACCAAAGAGATAAAGTAAGTAATATAAATGATCAAAATAGTTTGGGTAGTCTATGTTGCACCTATTTTTTCTTTCAGAGTCTTCTTGACTTCTTTAAAATAAAACTTTGAAACAAAATACTGAACTGGTAAGTATATAATTTAGAAGTTTAAAATATGAAAGACAAAATTTTAAATTTAATAGCAAAATGATGGAAAATAGCTTTGTTATTCATACTTTAGCCTACTTTATAATGCCATTTTATAAATTAGAGAATTCATAACACTGTTAAGAAAAAAATGGCAAAATTTTTTGCTGTATAGTGATAGAAAAATCAAGATACAATTATAAACATCAGTCTCCTTGCGTTAACCCACTGCACACAGCAGTGCCATGTTCAGGTGTTCCACGCTCAGGTGTGCATGTCCAGGTGTGCACGTCCAGGTGTGCCACAGTTAGATTGTGTTGATACCTGCCTTGTTAGGTGAGCGGCTCCATCATTCCAAAGTGGAGTTCCACCGAGAGCCCTTTGCCTGCGGTGCCGTGTGTGCAGGACTCAAGAGATGCGTCTTGAGCCTGATGTGTTTACGAAGGGTACATAGATAGGAAGGTAGTCTACCAAAACAGAGAAGCAACTTGAGAATTTTTTAAAGGACTTTTAAAGTAGTCTTCAAGATTCAGGCAGGGACATGTTTTATTCCTAATACTGGATTAGCCAAGAACCTGACTTTTCTCATTACTTTCTGTAGTACACGCACTGTAAGGAGAGAATGGCATAGCAAATTATTCTTTTGTGTCTTATTTTGGTGTCTGTCAGCTGCTAAAAGAATTTCACCTTTGAACAATTACCGTTCTGAACATTAGCCATATTATTCTATGGAAAAATGTATTTGATAAAATGTGCCCAAGGTAAAGGTGGATATATACACGGTGGGGCGAAATAATGTTTATAGTTGTGAGCACACAAAACACAGGGTTCATTCTTGCGTTATTATTGATCAATTATTGTCCTATGAACGATGGTAAACCTACTTTTACCCCACCCTGTATGTATAGATAAAGTACAATAGGTACCAGTTTGTGATAAAGTGAATTTAATTTCTGCAAAAATTTAATTGCATGCAGTGAAACCATTCTCTTTCTTTTCTTTCTAGGTCGTCACAATAGGCGTAATCCTTTGCCAGTCTGTTTCCATGGTTATTCTCTACCGACTCTTTCTGTCCCACAGTCTATACTGGGAAGTGTCCTCGCTGTCCTCGGTGACACTGCCGCTGACCATACCCTCTGGGCACAAGAGTCGGCCTCACTTCTGACACTTGGTGTTCTTTAAAGGAAGAGCGAACAGAGTGCAATAAGGATCCAAGTACTGACTTGTTTTTTCATACCTTCAGTATGAAAAATTGAACATAGAAAATAGAGCATGTTATTTATACAACTGCATTTAAGCAGTACCCAAACTGAAAAAGGTAATAAACGAAATGTTTTGAAAAATACTTAATAAACTTGGAAGAAAGAGTGTTGTTATAAGGTGATTTATGCAATTTCCATGTGGAAGTAAAGAAGAAAAGAATTATATGATATTTTGGTAAGAGATTCACCACTTACAATGCCTCATCTTATGTCAATAGTTTAACTCAGGTTTGAAAGTCTTACAGGAAGTAATCAGTTAAATGATTACTTACCAAACACTTATGACACATATCAAACTAAGCCCAGCTATGAAATCAGTGTGGTGCACTGATTAAAAACTGCTGCTTTTTTATGCTTTAAAGAAAATGCATTTCATATTGGAGTTTAAAGGAATTGAAAATTATATTGCTTCAGAAAATAAATACCAAGTATATTCATAGTTAAATGAATAAGCTTCTGTTTATTTGTGGGTGGGGTTTTCCTCCATTTTTTTTCTATCACTTTGGCTCTAATTCAGGTTTTACTTTGTTTAGCAAAGCGTTTTTGACAGTTTATGAAAAATAAAATTAGATATATGTGTTTTAAGGACAAATTGTTTTAAAATCTGAGCATTTAGGTGAAGGGACAAACAGGTTTACATGTTTAAAAAGAAAGAAGAAAAAAGCACTGTGCGATATGGTACTAAAATTTTAATCCTGATATAATTCGTATCTCTTAACAGTGAATCCCCAATCATAATTAAGCCAAATACACAGATTAAATTAACAGAAACATTTCACATAAATGTTGGTTTCAGTCATCAACTACCCGTGAATTCCTGCCCAAGGATACTTAATCAGGATTAAATTTTCTGTGAATAATTGAAAAACAAAATACTCACTGGATTAGTTATAATCCATATTGGCACTGGATTCTAAGTAGTTGCCATCTTGAATCTTTTGTAATAAAGCCATATTCTTTTGCGTATGTGATGCCCCAGTATTGAGTATGACAGCTAAAAATATACTCTATCAAGTGCCTGTTTAAAGAATTGCTAAATGGTTGTTAATACCTGCTATATAAAATGAGTATTCCCATTAATAGTCACTGATTAGAAGTTATTCTGTGTCTGTTTGTGAAGTTGTTCAGGTCTTTTTAATTTTACTTCTGGCATCTTTTAAAAAATGTTTTAAATCTACTTTCAGAGGTATTATTACATCTTTAAGCAAGAAATGGTGCACTGATCTGGTAATTAAACTTTTTAATTAAGTAGTTAAAATAATGTAGCACAACGTAATTTTATCCATGGCTATGTTTTTTTCCCCTTACATCTAGTCTTATTGGAAATGAACAGTATTGTTTATTTTAAAGGCAAAAATATATTTATTTGTCGCTAATGACTATCAAAGTGGCAAAGTTCAGCCGTCTCATTAAATCATCTCTAACAGTTCTTTGTAAATTATTTAATAAATGAGAGCTGCAGGTTAAGACTAGAAAGTCTGGGGTCTATTTTAGGTTTACATGATCTGCTGAGTGGTCATGACCTTTTCTTTGCCCACATCTCACTAATAACACCAGTTACTGTCTGTTGTATTCAACTGAAGTGCAGTTAATTAAACTGAAAAAAAAAATAGTGAAGCATTTTCATAAATTTTGTGTACTTGCGACAAAGGGAAGGGAATAATTTTCATGTTACAAAAAGAACATAGAAACTGTAATCAATATATGAGAAATGTATTACTGTGCTTGCATTTATGAAAACTTTAACAGGTGTTTTTACTTTATTTTTTAATTTATGGTTGAATTTGCTGATAATTTATTTTGCTATTCAAGAGCCATTGTTAAATGAACTAAAACAATTGTTGATAATTAATGTATAAAAGAGTTGTTAATAAAGTTTAGTAAAAAGCTCAAATTTATTGTTCATAAGTCATGGCATAGCATTTCCCTTTTTCTGAATGTTTACATGAAAATATATCACTGCAGGTTACAGAAAGGTAAGTGTATACTGCAAACTAATTAAATATCAAAACTTTCCTACTTTTCTTTCTGTCAAAAAATACTTTAAGATTTGTACATTTTTTTCTTAAATAAGATGAATGGTCTGTCCAGTGCTCTCTTTTTTTTTTTTTTTTTTTTTTTAAGAAGCATTTTGGTTTTTTCCCTTTGACAGGTATAGAAGATGTTTATTTTTATGGACATGTAGCATAATGTGAGCTCCTACTGGAGTAGGTGTGCACCTCTGCACACTTCAGTGGTTGAACCTTGGCTTTTAGCCAGACAGCATTGCTAGCAGGGAGCGAGGATCCAGGCAGAGGAGCTTGCTTAAGGAAAGATTTTCATGATCTCAAGGAAAGTAAGCCAAGTCTGATGAAAGTGGGAGATAGGCAAGTCTAAGGCCAACTCTGACAATGAAAGGAGGACCTACACTGGAACAGGAAGATCGGCCCCTTCAGTACGTTTCCCTCAGGAGGCTGTTGTATTCTCTAGATATTCTTTGAAAATCTTAAATTATTTGTGAAACGTTCTCTTTAAATAACTTAGTGATGACAGACCTCTGGGGCTTTTGTTTGCTTGCTCCCCATCACACTTACAAAAACGTGAGCCCTGCTCAATACCATGTTCTTCAAGGCCCCACATGACCTGGCCCCTGCCTCTCAAGTCTGATCACATTTCGTACCGCTCTCCCCCTTGCTGTCCCAGCCTTGTCATTAAAAATAACCTCGTCGATGTCGCTGCCCCAGAACCTTTGCACTTACTCTTTCTCCTGCCTGAAATAGTCTTCCAAATGACAGCATGGCGGAATCCTCCTCATCCTTCCTTTCTCAGCACTGATACCTTTAGAGACCTCTGACCATCTGGTGAATTTATTTGGTGCAAATTTAGATACACTGGAGCTACGTTGCTCAGACTTCTCCCTGCATAAGTTCCAGGATAGTGCGGGCCATGAGGGATGTTTGATGTAAGGTTTAGAAGGCGGGTATACAATAACTAGATCCAGGTTCTTTTTATAATTGAACGGTCCAAGCAAGGCATGCTTTTGCTGCTCCCCCACGTCGTTGCTTCTCTCCTGGTCCATCCTTTTGGCCTGTGGGCCAACAGCTAGGCCCGCAGGAGTGCTAGCCGCTATTCAGACTCCTGGGCCAGTCAGAATGGCAAAACTAAATGACAGAGGTGCCAGGGTGTGCAGGACGACCCCGCTGTTGAAGTCGGAGGCGTGGAGACAGACATTGGCAAGAGTTCCACTCAGTCCCCAGGGTTCCTGCTCACCCCGGCAGGTTCCAGCGTGCCCTGGCTTCCCCTTCACATCCATTTTCCCTTCCCTGCTGCCAGACAAAAGGAACAGCCTCCCCTGACCCCTATAATAAACGCTTTGTATGTTAAAGATGGGGTGGGGGGTGTATGTTGTATGCTAGTGGGTCTCCTTTTCTGATCAGACCCCCACTGAAATGCCGTCCTACCTGATGCTGCCCCCGATCCTACCTTCTCTGTTGCATTACCCCCTTTTTTTTGTAGTACTTACTTTAAAATCTAGGGGACTTTGACCATTGCCTGTATTGTTCACTGCTGTGTCCCTAGCACCTAAAACATCCTCTGGTGTACACTAGATTCTCCAAAAATATTTGGAGTGAATGAAAAAGAGTTCCAGACATGCTGCTTAGCAAGGGCATTATTAAATAATAGAACCTCACATCGTGACTTCAATAATAACTTTCCTGTTCTTTATTCCATTATATGGAACTGAGAGTGTAAACATTTTGAGTAGTCAGGTAGTTAGGATAAAATCTAATCTCTCAGCCTCATCAATTATGAGAGGATCCCTCCGGCTGTCTGAGAGGCAGTTTCCCTCTATTGCATGTAGGACTGTGTTAGGACCATGTGTCTGCCTGCTTCACCCATCACAACTAAAAGCATCAACTAAGAGAAGTTTCAGTCAGAGGAAAAATAGTTGACAGTCATACAGAGCATCTGGGAGAAGACAGACTAAAACTGACACCCAAATCACAGCCTGGTGTCATTTCATGTGGATGAAAACAGTCTTATGTGCCATAATAGACGCTTGGAGGTTTATTGTTTAATATAATTCATGATAATGGCCTTAATAATCAAAAGATTAAATTATAAATTATGTTTAGGATCCTCAGAGAAATGTGCAAATGCATTGTAATGTTTCAGCCTTGTTAAATAGGTAATACATGCACATTGTACAAAAATCAGGAGGTTGGAAAAGGTAAAAAAGTAATCCTCCCAGCCACACATTTTTATGCTCTGGATCCAACATCTGTTACCAGTTTCTTACTTATTTTTCTAGAGCGGGCCCCATGGACATATAAATATACATATATATGATATGAAACACAACTTCCGGCACGCCATCCAGATTATTGTGCACATTCAGCAAATTATCCCACCTACAGAGCTGGCCCACTCCTCATCACCTGCGTAGGATTCCATGATACAGATGTATTTTAACTTTTTTAATTAGTCCTTTGTCACTGGACATTGTTGATCTCCAGTCTTTTGCTATTACTGGTAGCCTCCCTTGGAGTAACATGGGTCTCTGGCTCTTTTTCTCCCCTTCCAGTGTCCTCCTTTTCAAGTCCTGCACCGATAGAGTGAGAGAAGTATCTTTGTTATTCATGATGAAACCTGATAGCTTATGCTAATGAGGTAACTCAGGATGAGGGTTGGCTACACCAGAACCACATAATTAGAGGGCCGTCCTTAGAGTCACAGTGTGGTCACAGTGAGGTCACCCTGACCTGGGGAGGGGGGAGGGGAGGAGATTAAGGTCAACCTGTAGTCAATAATTCAATCAATCATGCCTATCTAATGAGCCCCCAATAAAAACCCAGGCGCTGAAGCCTAGGTGAGCTTGTAGATTTTTTTTAAAATATGGGTGGAATTATCAGGGTTTTGTTTTTTTTTTAATGGCTTCTGCCTTCATGTTCTACCTGTTCTACATGTGGAAAGCCTCACCTCTTTGAGATTATGTTTAAACCCCCTGTTTTTTCTTCTAGTAGTTTTATGCTTAATGTTTTGATCCACCTGGAATTTATTTCGTTATAAAATATAAACTAGGGATTCAACTTAATTTTTTTCAAATGGTTGCCTGCTTATTAC